ATGGAAAAAGAGAAAAAACATCCAAAAGCTTTTTTTATGCTTTAACAGTTGAGTCATTGAGTACATGCGCTAAAGTATGAATATGAAGCATACAGGCCTCAAAAAGCAGTATAAAGAGAGTTGACTTGTCTCTTCGCTTAACTATTGTTTCTCTTTGATCGTTTTAGTTTTTGTTTTTGTTTACTTATAGTTTTTTTTCACCGATAATTTAAAAGTTTTCTACAAAATATTACAGGAAGAAAAAAACCAAGTTAAGGTAACAAAGAGAAGCATTTCAGCATTTACGAGCCTTTCATATAAATGTCGTAAGCAAGTTTTTGAGCTACTACCACACAAAGTGTTGATCATCGGTAAAGAAGAACAAAGAGCAAACAATATCTTTCAACAGCTAAAAAACAGATAATTGGAGTGTAGACTTTTTTCCGAAAGGAGCAGCTTTATCTACAAATTTTTTTTCATAAGCAACTCTAGTCATGCACCTGCATTTCATCAGCAAAAGATTAGGTATTCACGAGTCCTCTCAACGAAAAGAAGACACATTTATTCAAAGTGAAAATTCGTACAAGTATCAAAACATAATTCTCGTATGATTATTTTACAACCAAAAATCAAATGTCAAACACCACAATAGAATCACTTGAAGAGATATTATTTCTCAAGCACAGGTGCTCAATGAAAGTTCCACTTAAATCCGACACAGAGTACCTACCAAGGGTGGATCATACGGTCTATTTGTCGTGGATCTTCCGTGGCCAAGGAGGAGGAGAAGGAGTAGAGTTGGCAAAGCTAGCAGAACAAATTAGATATCACACCGTTGGTTGGGAAGAGGAAAGGCATTACAGCGTAGCGAGGGCTGAAGCGGCGCAGTGACGGTCAAACTACGGCGAGTGTTTTGGTATAAGCCCTTGGGTAATCTGGACATGCAAATCGGCTTTGTGTTTCATGCGGATGTTTGAGACTAGGCCGATCCGATTATGTCATTATCATCATCATCGTATGAAGATCCAACTTTCAGCAGAGGCTCCCTTATCTGCCAAATTTTCTCGGCGTCCCCTTTTTTTTACATAACTTTTCGAAACGATTTACTTTTAGACTTGCGTTGTAAGTATTAAAATCAAAATGAGATAGAAGCATTTAAAATTTATGATAAAAATTAAACATTTGATAACTGAGTATTATGTACTAAAGCTCTTGGATTTGCAGTGCATACGTAATATTCATGCACCTGAACCTATAGTCTTGTAGTCATGTACCTAGTCATTCGAATTTCGGGTCTCTTACACATACATTCTGGGTACATACACGCTTACTTCATCCCGCTCAAAAAGAAATTCGTTATGCATTGCCCCAGAACGCTATGAGCACCGAGTACCTGATTTGCTCGCAGTACGCAGCCTTGCGCAAGAAGGTATGTTCCTATCTTCCTTCAAAGGTTGTACTAATCGTTTCTTTGTGGTCTCTCTAAGATGCATAATGTAGTTACTCTGCCTCTATCACGCAAAACCCCGACAAATTTGTTTGCTGAGAATGGGGTGTGTATTTATGCGTAAAGACGATACTATTTTAGATTGAACGAGTGGCTTCAAAGTGCATTGTAGAGTGTCATGAGAAGCACGTTGAGCAATCCTCTTACATGGTTCAGTTTATAAGAAAGCATATCAAATAAGGACAGTATAATCTTGTAAAGTTATTTTTGTTTGCAGATTAAGTGTAGTATTCAGAGCAAGTCATGAGTGTACCTTGAACTCTACTGTTCCAAATGGGGACATGTTATGAGAACAAAAATTTACCGTAAAGCTCGTGAATGCGTATGATATATTCACTCACCAAGGATGTAGTGGTTCAACTCTCTCTTCTTCCCTCTCATTGCTGTATTAATATTATACAACCTAATTGGCCGCTTAGAGTGTATTGTATGGAATGACCATATTGTGCATATCTTCATTGCTTATTGCTTCTATCTCTTTATTGTTAACTTTTTTTTTCTGAAATAGAGCTTTGATGTATCGGTGAGGAAGATATTGAAATTATCGAACCAAAAGATCATTATTGCTTTGTAATTTTCTTTTCCATGACATATCGAAAGTAATAATCAAATCGTTAAACTTTGCTCTCAGTCAAGCCAACGAGAAGCGAGTAGTATAAGAAGCAGCTGACGTATTTACAAGCAAAACAAACATTGAGCCAACCAAGCAGAGCCTCCAAGGATAAACAATGCATTCCGATCCTACCCACTGGATATATGTATATATCTATAAATGCCTCCTGTGTACATTCGAGCTCGTGTTTGATTATTTGGATGGTGCAATCTTGACGAGCTGATGCTGCTACTGCGCACAGACAGACGGCAAGAATGGGAGGTTCTCCTGTCTGCGCTCGAGGCTGAATTTCGTAGTGACACTGGAAGGTCCTCTCCTTCTCTTCCTTCCACGTACCACATATACCTATACACCCTTCCTCGGCCAGTATTGCTTTTTGGCTCAACTGATTGCACATCTGCATACAAACACAGAGATCCTTCCAAGCGATGCCGATTCACTCGATGATTGACGAAGATGTGGCCCTTCCTTTCTCTGTCGGTCGTATTGAGAGTCTCGGTGCTGGACGTCGAAGCAGATGGATGTCGTTGTCGAGTCGAGACACCGTCAGAGCGCAAATGTGCACTAAACACAATGGAAGTTGGGATGAGGTGGAAAGGAGAGATTTACAGATGCAGTGGAGTAAAGGGGAGTCGTACCACCGTTGGGTGAAAAGTCCGATCCGATGGAGTGACTTAATTGAGGACTGTCTACTGTTGATGGTGGTTGTACTCATTGTACTCAAGGCGAAGGATAAAGTCTCAACCGTACGTCTATACAACTTATCGGATTGACGCTTTTACTTTTGGAAATCAGTGTAGGGGTATTCAAACTCGGTTGAAAACAAACAAAATTGATTGTGTCAATCCAACAGAAATGTAAACATTTGTTTCATACATGAAATTGCGAAAATCCTTTGGTCACACAAACGTGCAAGAGAATCACAAATGCAGCAAACGCAGCAGCGTACCCATCAAGAGATCCAATTCCGAGCTCATAATTCATATTCAATCCTTCCCTTTCCTTTCCCTACTCCATGGTACAGTATAACGATCGAGGTAAGCCAAACGTATGGGAGTGCCGGCAGCGTCATCGAAATTCCATCATCGACTCTCAGAATCTGCATGTTGAGATATGAGAGAGAAAGAGAGAGAGAGAGAGAGAGAGAGAGAGAGAGAGAGAGAGGGAGGGAGAACTGGAGAAGTGGAAATCCAGAGGTAAATTTTGTGAATTAGCAGGAAAGCTGATGTTCTCATCGTGTGTATGATGATGACATAGGCGTGTAAAGCGGCAACAGCATCGATGATAGACGGCAAGTGGTTTGACAGTGATTGCATACAGAGGTCATTAAAATATACATTGACTCGTGATACGATGTAAAATATGACTGTCTTTCTTATTTCTTGCTCTCTGTAAAATTTATTTGCAAAAAATATGTATATTTTCTTGGTACATAAATATAAGAGGAAGAATACATGATATAGGAAATTGAATGAAAGCTAAGAGCATATTGTTATCTCTTTTCCAATTCTTTGATTTTCCTATTTTACTTCGCTGTTTATGGTCGATGAAACAACAAATTTTTTATTTTTTTTTTTAATTTNTTTTTTAATTTTTTAAAAAATTTTTTTTTTTTAAAGTCTCATGGTTACTCAAGAAAAATTTAAACAAACCTATCCCCACTTATCTGGCTACATATACTGCATATATATATACTGTATCAAACTTTTAGGCAATGACTGTGTATTTTATCAGTATACAAATGAACCGCTAGTTAAACACAACTCAATTTTGGAGGGATTTCCACCAGCTGTTTAAAATACTCGTCTGACCAAACGCATGGTTATACTACTGATAATTGTATCTACCAACATATAAGGATTTTTGTCGCTATTTCATCTTTGTGCAAAATGTATGAGTTTGAATAAAACGACATTTTAATAAAACCCTACTGAGAATTGATTACCACCAGCTGCGCAAAACTTCTGTCTGACCAAACGCATCGTCCTTCTGCTGATAATTTAATCCATCTATTTAAGTCACTTTTGCCATTGTACTGATTTCGTAAAAAAAACTTGACTGAGTATTGATCATCATTAGTTTTCAAAATTTATGTCTGACGAAAAGTATGGCTCTATTACTACCAAATAAATTAATTTGTCTACTATAAAAGGTTAAAACTTTGAACGTTCTACAGTACCAAAAAAATATATTAATTTTTCATATTAAAACTGTAAATAGATAGAACTCAAAATGAAACTGTTGTCACAAACGTAGTATGAATAGTTGTGTCACTGATAAGTTACTACACTCTTCATACTCCTGCAAATATAAAATGAATAATGTTTCTGAGCTATAAATCTTTGGCATTCTCCCATCTCAACCTCCATAATTACGAAGCATGGTAATGTCACGAAAGACAAGGAGCTCTCTGTCTCTTACCGAACATTGCTACTGTAATGAAGCTATTTATAATCAAGATTACATACTTTAATGCCTTGCAGTATAAAATATGCAAATCATAGAAACATACAGAAGAACTATGAAACAATAACTTCCTCCCTCCTTCTGCCCCACTCTCACACTCTTGACATGACCGCTATCTGTAACAGCTAGCACGCTTCGTCAGGTGTATCCAATTTTACCCTCTGGTTGATTGCCCTTGACGAGTTAAATATCGATAGTAATAGATAGCTTAGAAGGTGTTATATATTTTTATTGCATTTATTAGTATAGTATTTAAGTTGTTCATGTCTTATTATGTAACTATGTACACCTACCTCTTCAAATTTATAAATTAATAAAAAAATTTTACCTTCAAAAGGCTCAAATTATAACTGCTGTATACAAATAATTATTATTATGATCATAAATTGAAAAATACTTGCTACGAATAATAATTACCCATTTTATTTGTTCCAGGCCAAATCGACCTCTGGACGCAGAGCATGAGCGGCTGTTCGTGCGGCTTCAACTCGTCACAAACGGCCTGCGCGTGTTGCGTACCACGAGGTGGATGCAGCTGCGGCGCCGCCATGCCCAACAGATGCACCCAGTGCGGCCTCGAAAATTACTGCTCAAAAAGTGAGTACATTTATCATCAAAATAAAAATATGCGGTTATTAAACATTTCACACGACTTTTAAATTCTGTCTTGTTATTCTACCTTAAAATATTTGTGTTTTGGTAAAAGAATTTTTCTATCATCGAGGTAACAATATACGTCTCGTTATTCACGGTTGTATTATCATGTCATGTAATTGTTTAGTTCGTAAGAATAAACACTCATGTAAATGCCCGTATCGCAGAGAAAAGTCATCAATTTCGATAACAAAAACAAATTACGCTCACATCAGCCAAAGTTTCCATTAGCGCAGCGTTGAAATAGAGCTCCGTAGTATTTTTCTAGTGGTGCTTGATCGAGTGATTGCATTCGTGGAATTGACTCACAGCTTCTAACTAACCAGCGTCCGTAACTTCAAACTTTTCCTCCCAGCCCCGACTTCATTACGATAATATTTCTCGCATCCCTCCTTTTCCACCCTCTTTCTGATATTCTCCGTTGTCTTGAAACACTGTAGTTACAAACATAAATCGAGCCAATTGATCACGACTCGCTTAACTACTTGGACCTTCCCCGCCCCTCGAAGTCGATTGGTCGAGTCGATCCAAATCACTGGAGAACAATGAAAAAAGGAAAAGGTGGTAACTCGCTACTTCCTCCCTTTTTATAAATCTAATGACTCTCCTAAAGTATGTCATTATACACCGGAGATCTGTACTCGTTCCGTTGAATTCCATGGTACGACTACAGATCCCTGAGAGAACAGATACACTGACGATGTACCGTGAGAGGGTTGGTGGAAAATTAATTTTAATTGCGCCATTTAATCACACCTTTTGTTCAGTGGGCATGATATAGAGAGCTTCTATTGACCTTTGCGATCTTATCCTATGGTCCACGTGCCATTCCAATCTTTTAAATTTATGTAGTTAGAAATCTTGGTTGCCGAGAGGTGGATAGTTAAGTCAATTATTAGCGGTACGTTAAGCTTATCTATCCTTTACACTTTGCACAATACTTAGTGTTTCGTATGCTGACTGAGATATGATACAAATCACGTCTCTTCTGTACGACCACTCAATTTTTCAACCCGCAGTATGTTGTTCTTAAAATTATATAAGAAAAAATTCTGCATAGATGCACGACTCATTTTCCTCTGGATTCTCGATTTGGAGGACTTGTGTAAAAATACAGAAGTCTCAAAAAATTTACTGCTATTACCTCTTTTCCCTCCCTCACTTATTTTTTAACAAAATTCCTAGCACACAGTTTTTCCTATCTATAAGTATTTTCCCCCTTGGTGCTGGTGTCTTTATTTTCCTCCATCTTTTTATTCTATGGGAGCTTGACTTGAGTGTTTTGCTGCGCACTGAAGTGCTTTAGAAAAGGAAAAGTACAGTAGGCGCTGTTGAGGAACTAGAGCACAGGGACACGGGATAAGATCAAAGAAAAGTACGTATCCCTTTTGGCGTACATGTCATAGACATAAAAGTACAAGTGTTGCACGTGAGACAAAAAGACACGAAAAGTGAGTAATTTTATTCTTATTTTATTTTGCTTTTTTTTTTTTGTTTTGGTCCATAGTGTGCAACGTGACGCTGGACAGTAGGCAATTGTTCAGCAAATCGGATCGGGGCTTCGGTCAAATAAAGTCCCCGCAGCTGCAGGGGCCCTCCTCGTGCACCTACAGGTTCGTGCCGGACACTGGCCAACGAGTGGAGCTCCAGGTCTGGCGGATCATATCCATTGGGCGGCACAACGGCACTGCGTGAGTATATTTTTTACACGATACTTCATATGATTTCGTCTTTCTGAACTTCTTCTATAAATTATATTTCTTTTGGTTTTATTATTTTTTGTTCGGCTTCCATTCGACGTGCCACTTATACCCATAAGAAGCTATTCCAGGATTTTCCTGCGTTTCTAACTAAACTGAAAATATTAATTATGGAAAAAAAATTTCATTTTTTTGCTGTATCTCTATTTATCTTTCCGGTTATAAAACATCTCGATGCTTCTCTCATTTTTTCAACGGGTCAGGAAGCAGCAGCTGCAGTACTGGTTTGTTCCTCGCATTACACGAGGCGATGGTTCCTTCAGTGAAAATAGCGATAACAGGGCAGGCGCGAAAAACTTGGGCGAAAGCTCCTCTAGATGCGCGTTGTCGATTCAAAGACCCGTACTTTTCGAAGTGCAGAAAATGTCAGAGGAGGCAAACACAAGAGTAGAAAGGTTGCAGGTGACAATAGGATGTATGCGACAGAAGAGACTTGAACGTGTTTCAACGCGAGCCGACTTTTTCGTTGTCCAGACATGTTTGATCTTTTAGCTCGTTGGAGCGCGTGTTTTCTCATACGTGATTGCTCTTTCTATACTTTTCCATTTTTTTTTCTTCCTTTTCCCGTGCATTTGTATTTTACTACTCTGATTCTTACAGATGTATTCTTTTTCCATCTGGTAGAGAGGGAGCCATAAAAGTTTGTGAAACTAAGGTACAGCTGGGACACGTAGGACCAAATGTATCCTTTTCTTCAAGTTTTTGCTGTTTACACGAGTTTCGTCATACAAGTCGTTAGCTCTCGTACATAACACATTTGCAGTTTCTTGAGCATTGAAAGTGTTCTAGACACAGCACTACTATGATAAGTAGTTTCAGTTATAGACGTTAATTTAACGAACTTATGAAAATATCACATAAAAGCTTGTACATAGCACAATGTGATTGATATCTTACAAAAATAATCAAGGTATTTTAGTTTTATTCTACTATGAACATCAACATGTTTTCAAATTCTTTTTGAGAGCAATAAAAAATACAATAAGTTGCATTGAAACAACAACAACATCAAACTGAAAGCAGAGGAGGAGTAGTATACATTCCCTGAACTACTAGACAGGTGAAAACAATTTCCCCGACAAATGTTGCAAATCAGAAGTAGTTCCCTCCTTTCTCCTGACTCCCTGCCCGCTCCCATGTAGTAATATCATCAGGACACGTAGCTCGACTTTCCGGCGTAAATGATGGGAGGCTGCAAGCTCGTTATACACGTCTGCACGCTCGGCCGCGAGCTTCTGCATGCAATTAAACCTTGATGCAAGTTATACGGGTCCGGCCTCGCACCTTTCTCCCTATCGTACTTGTAACTTGTACTGATAAGTGCGCCCGTGCCACCTACCCCCGTGTCTGACATGCAAACTGGCTTGCGTAGAGTGTTATTAAGTAGCCGAGCTTTCGTTGATGCTGTTCCATAATATTGCCCACTTTGATCCTTTTTTTTTCAAAATAAAACTCTACTCTTCTCTACTCTTGCAATGACATTCATGACACTGAAAATCTGCATAAATTTACCATTCTTCTATCTAAAGACTTAGAATTAGAGAAACTTTGAATGTAAACAGAGAGTATCTTATAAAGTAAAGTCTGAGCTTTTACATGTACCCAAGAAACGATTGATAAATTCGTTGGTTTTATTGGGATTGGATAACTTACGATATTCAGAATCGAACCGAATGAAATTTCGTAACGTAATCTCCCGTTCCTGTCTCAAAAGTTTTCAATGAGGTCTTCTTCATTATGAAACGGTAAAAGGCATTCAGTGCGTAGCTTCCAGCACAACTCTTTGGGTTTTTACTCGCTCGTTTCGTGGCAGCGTCAAAAAGCTTCCCCTTTCTTAAAGGAAAAAGGCTGACCTCAACAGCACACGTTTCCCCTCGTGCTGCTGCTGCCGTTGCTGTTTTTTCCACAAAAGGAAATAGAGCGTTGACAAAAAAAAGAGGAGAAAGGTTTGCTCGTCGTGATCTCCAGTTCTGGGACACGAGTCCTCTCGAGTGGAATAACAGGCCGTCCTTCTCTTCCTTCACTCCCTTTTCTTTTGATTTCCTTCATTTTGTACTGAAGGTAACCGGTAATTAGGTCACTCTCCTTTTTCTCCCTTATGTGTCGTTCCACCAACGTAGACACGCGTTTCCTCAAAGGCTTTGATTGTATTGTCGGCTTACTAAAGTTCAAAGAAAGTGCTCTTTCTATTCCCTCATTATCCCCACACAGCAGCTCTCTGCTCTAATCTTTATCTCCGGTCACTTTACTCACTTTCATAGCGAAACCATTTTACTTTTATAAATACAGAAGCTCAACTTTTTCTCCATAAAATAAACAACAATCTTAAACATTTGAAAATCACCAAAATCACTGCTTGTCACTTCGTTATGATTAATCTATCGATGATAGTGATATACCACTCGCGAAAACTCGGGGCATCAATCTTCTCCTTATTTTCCTTACTTTTCATCCTCCATAACTAGATCCTCCACTCCTTTATTTGCACTGAGCGGCAATTCGAGTGAAAATTAGTCTTGGAAGCTCTAGCATTAATGTCGCTCTCTGACTTTTGATGGATGACTTTGATTCTGGCTAGGATTATCTTCTCCGTGGAAGAGCAAAAGGGACATTAGAATTTCCTTTGAAAGTCCCGGGAAACGTGTATCGGATGAAAACAGTCTAGACCATCCATATACTGTTACAGAAATAAATTGAAGTCTCACGAAGAATTATCATCAACAAGTTAATTAAGAAATATTTTAGTGGCACTAATGAATACTTGTATTCAAAATAAATTGACTACCAAAATAAAAAACTGATAAATTTTGCAATATAATTGAACGATGTGGGGACGTATCGCATTTACTTTATTGAAATACATCGACAGCTTTAATTTCCGTGTGAGCTTTTTGAATGATACCTATGGAGAAGCTCAGTGTGAAGACGCTCATGTTTCTTCACGAACCTCTCAACTCCCAGCTAATAAGAATATTAGATATGCTTTGTATAGTATACTTTTTTACCAATGAACGTATCAATCACGAACGGACAGACAGTCACCTTCAATTGTTCATTACAAGAAAAGTAAACAAATTTTCCGTAGCTGTAAATTATACAGGTGTTGAATGCTCCATCACAAACTATTCGCCACAAATAAACAATGTCTACAGTACACTAAATGTAAATGCACGAACGAAGTGAATATTTTTTTTTTTTTAAGTAACGTAAACGTACGCGTTTAAAACCGTTAAACGGCGAGTAAGCAGTTGCTGTGTACAAAACAAAACTCACATCTAGCTCCCTAACAAGCTGATAATTAAATACTTTAAACTTGTTCCGCTACGGCTTTTGCTGCTGGTGGTGCTCGTATTCTGTTCGCTCTCCCACCGCGAGACTATTGTCATTTTCAAGTGTTGCTCCACTTTGTTCGGTCGCAAATTGCAGGCACCTGCTTCTCGCTGTACCGAGCAACAAACAAATATCTCACACACGGCTTTCCTGTAGTGTATATGGTTTGGTGATGTGCTCGCCCTCATTGCTGTTGTCCATGTTCCATTCAAACAGAATTTTTAATTTTGACACGTGGAAACTTTTTTTAATCATCGCTTGTTGATGTTTCCTCATTAAAACGAGTACCTACATGTGCTTGCGGAATACGTAAAGTTGGTCTAGTCACCATTTTCTACGAAAATTATTTACATTCCACATATTACGGAACCTCATGTACGTGAATTTTCAAAATAAATCTCTACGCACCAGAGACCATGGAAAATCCACGGAAGCATAAAATTATACCGACACTGGGATCATATTTCTCCTCCACATCCATCCTGTAATAAGTGCAAATTAGCGGGCCGAAAGTCAGAGTTAAAAATATTTTCAAAAATATTAACGAGATACTCGCTACACTACATCCCCCAAAAAAGGGGTGGAGACAAAAAAGCTACTTGTACTCTAAATTTATTCATACATCCCTTTCCTTCGTACTCGCTCTCTTCAAAAGGTGGCCTCTTTCGCATTCGTTCATTTGCATTTAGCTTTTCACCTTCCAACCCCTTTTTCCTTTCTCTTCCACTTCATAGAGCCAGCGTCACTTTGATGGTTGCAAGAAACTCAGAGCGCGAGCAAAAGACCACATCACAGCAAGACAGTCCTGCGAAAATCGCTTCAACGCCTCAGTCGTTGATTACGCAGCTGAATGAAATTCGCGTCCTCTCCTCGACTCTCACAGCTGCTGCTGCGATGTCTCCATGGGAGAGGCTAAGTCAGTTAATGGACCAACTGGTGGGAGGGTTATAGGTGTCGCTGAGCCAGCCACAGCTCCAATTTAAGAAAAGTGCCAAGCAGTCTCCTTCTGCTCCTCTGTTTCTCGTAAATTAGTAAAAAATACGAAAACTAATGCTATGACTCCCACAGCATATACATTTTTTTATTCTCAATTTTAAACGTTAGCATAATATTCGAAAGTGAATCGTAAACGAGAATTTGTAAAATGAGTAAAATTCGTATCTACATTCGTACTATTTACAGAAACATAGGTATAACATACATGCATGTGAATCAGCGCAAAGTAGGTAGATTTTTTTAACAATGAAATTTCACATTTCCTGCTCTCCTCTCCAACTTCCTTATGTGTAGAAATAAGGGAATCATTGAGAGAAAGAATAGGTAGTTGGAATTAGGTGCAGATAACTATACTTGAGGTTAAAAAATTTGAGTACAATTAAATTTTATTGCCATTCCTCTATCATTAGAATTGAAGAATAATGTGTTATTAGAATCATGAGATCACATTAAATTATTATTTTGATCCTTGGACGTCTACATCTTGTATTTCAGACAGTTCGTACCTGGACAACTTCACATGCGCACAATATATGATTTGCTCGTTTGTTGCTCTCTGAAGCATGCGTCTGACATGACGCTGATTCGTACTACTTACTTTCAGGTAAACTGTAGATCACCTTTGCCTCTGTATCACTGTATGAATTTTGATTAGTTTATCAAACATTTGTCTTGACTACCTCTGTTACTTTTCTGCTCCCTGATCTGTTTTGTAGGTATAAGGATTCCAAATAAGATATCGAAAGACTCTAAATACAAGCTTCTATTCGAAATTGAAATAATACTTACCCAGTTTTTTTGTGATTTTCATGGAATAAACAACGTGCTGGGATTGCCTAGAGCAGCCACATAAATTTTCAAGTCAAACAGGAGCTGGTTTCTTCAGTGACTGAGCTGTACAAGAAAATTGTATATTACCGTTTAAGAGGTCATGGAAAATAAATATAGCCAAATTTTAATGGCACATTTGCCATGTCACGTTTATCTAAAAAGTTTCCAGTTCTTTCACAGAGTCAGTAGTCAGCCTATTAAATATATGTTGAGCTTTTTTGGCTCTTTCAGAAAAGTCACGAGCAGCTGCAACATCGTCGTGTTTTTTCTCTTCGTCGTTTTCGGTGCAGTGCCAGGAAAATTTTCGCCAGCCCGAGTTTACATTTAAATTTACAATTTTCCAGGTTTGCCATACCATTGCTTTTGGGAAGTAAATTGATTTTCGCGATTCCAAGCTGCCGTATGGGTGAAAAGCGCGAAACATCATTCAAGCATATACTGCTGCTTGTACAGGCGCCGCTCCGTAAGTGATTTCCGGCTGAGCGAACGGGTGACTGACTGACTGGCGCTTCAACTTGTCGCTCGTGGTGTTGGGCTCGAGATTTCATTCCCCAGTTTCGTGAAAAGTGGACTGAGAGTTGAGATCTACGTTTGCATCCTCACATTTACCGCTACAAGATAAACCCATCCTCAATATTGTGCCCTTGAAAGAAATAATGGGGAAAGAAAAATAATGTCGACATCTCCACTTGTCACTATGATTATCGATGATAGTTGTTATTTGACTGCTTTTGAACTACCACGAGCTCAACCATACCACGGAGATTTTTGTTTTTGTTTTTTGAAATGACTTCGTTAATTTGCGTTTTTGCGAGTTAATCAGCGTTAGCAGAAATAGTCAAATGAATAGCAATAACTGATGGTAAAAAAATTTCTGGTTTTCTGGATAAATTTGCTCTATCGATATTGAAAAAAATGATGCGAACAAATGAAAATGGAATTTTGAAAATAATAGGCAATTAAGAGTTAAAGAAGATAGAAAATAACTCAATGTAGCCAATATCCTGCAAAGAGACCTGGATTCCCGTCCGTTTTTAATTTCGCCGCGCAGATGTGATAAAAGAGCCTCACGTTTGGGCAGTTAAGCTGCAACAAGGAGAGAAAAAAAGTGACAGATGAAGGATCGGCGGATGGAAGGGACGGGGATGCGTAATCTGAGCAAAATGAGCGAGACGTGCAGCTGAGCAGCGCCGACAGCGTGTCAGGCTCTTTCAATTATTTATGTTGGCGGGTAACTGCATGGCCAACTAGAGAGAGATGATTTGCCCACGATAAATGGGATTGAAATTTCTTGCTCTGATACCATCGGGGCTCTATTGAGGAGATAAAATATACAACTGTCAATTTGCCTCCCCTAAAAGAGTGACGTGATATGGTCAGAGATATTCATGGCTCATCCCTTGCTCGGAAAAATTAAAGCAAGCTATTATTATTTTAATTAATTTTTTTATGTATCTGTACTTTTAGTTATTCTATAATGATTTCCTGCAGCTTCTTTCAGGATCGAATTCAAGAGAAGAAAAAGGAAAAGTAGAGTAATGGATATTCATGATTTGATTGCAGGTGCGAGGGTGGATGGCTGGAATTCGAAGGTGGGCCAAGGATATGTGGACGTGACTTACGACTGCATCAGCCCATTGTACTTTTCTCCGACAAACCAGAGCCGATTTTGCGTGTACAGTGAGTATTTTGCTTTTTTCCTTTTTTGTTTTTTTTACTATTTACCAGACAAAAAGTATAGTCACTAGTAACAAAGCATCTTGTCCTTTATCTTTTATTTAACGATCACTTGGTTGATGCAAAGACAAAATTAGTCGTAAAATTAAAAAGAAAATGAAATCTTTATCAAAACACCGAGACAAAACTATGAGGAAGGAAAAGACGAAGTTTCTGCAGGTGCAGTGTACAATAGACAAGTTTTTCATATAAACTAATCACGACATTTAGCTGACTCGTGTCCTTCTTGAATAAGCGGCGACAACAGTTATGGTGGTGGTGGTGTGCTGGCGGTGATGTTGAAAAGAAGAGGAGGACAAAAGGGGTGGGGCCAAGCCCACTTGGCAACGAGGCCAAAACAGTCGGGCACAGCAGCTGCGGAAACTTCAGTTCAGCGGAAACGCAGTCGTTGTCGTCGTCGCCGCTCGTCACGTTGATTGAGATGCAGGGCAGCTCTCTCTCTCTCTTCCACTCCTTCTTATCTATCTTCCTGTCTGTTTCCACCCAATCCCTCATTTTGCCAAAAAAAAAAAACAGAAAAAAAGAACCAATTCATTGAAACGATGTTAATTTCTTTTTAGCCCTTTTTTTTATTTTGACAGAGTGTACAAAAATTTATGTAACAATTAGATCCATCGAACGATGAAGTATGTATGGTAACTCAATCTGTTACACATCCAATCCATTTATTAGCTCTTTATCTTTCCGTGCGCGTCTCTTCATCCTCCTGGCCGTTCTTCTCTTCGAATTTCTCTATCGGGAAGTCGCTATATGTTGGAGCGAGAAGCGAGTGCTCGCCAAGACGGGCTCATTTACATTCTTATTAAATTGTCCCGCTAAAATTACGACAAAACTTCGTGGCTGCGCTTATTTCTGGGTAAAGTCCTCCCACCCCCTGAACTTCCTGTATTTTTTTCCCAACCACCACTTCTTTTCACTTTTGACTTTTTCCACTCTCAGCACTGCTGTTTTTTTATTTTCTTGATGCCATACCTCATTTATTTTTGGATCGGGCCCTAAATGCGATCGTTGGATAAGCAGTTATTGCACAGAGAAATACAAATATCGTACGGTTCTTGCGTTAAAAATAAAAAAAAAATAGAAAGTAAATGGTATTAATAATTCAGAACGGACCGATGCTGTGGGGATAAAACGATAAACACAAACAGCAAATAAGCGGCGCCTCTGTATTACTTGATTACGCGGTAGAAATTCAATATCGCGAAGGATCGTACTCGAGACAATCTGATTATCCCTCCCTTGTATTTTTTTCCTTCGCTCTTCGTCTGCGAACCCTAAACTTAATCACACTTTTTTTTTCGCTGACGGCAAAGTGTATTTTCCCAGTGACGAGTCATCACTGCATCAGACTGTATACATACATTTTCTTTTTAATACTTCAGGCACAATATTCAAAAATGTCAGTGCAGAGGTGTGAAAAATACACATGGATGAAAAATCTAATATTTACCCACACTGAAGAAAAATTTACCAAAAAAATTTTTCCCTCAAAATATACACCAGGGAGAGGCTGACATACCGCGTCCGACCCATCTATCACCGTGAGCTACCTACATTTATACACGCACACACACGTATATGAATATTATATTTGTCTCGCCATATCCATCAATCAGAATGGTTCTACAACTCCGGTGGATATCTCCATCTATTTCATGGCCATTGGCCCATAATGTGCACCTCCCTGGATCGGACTTCCCTCGTATCTTTTAAAATTGCCATGCCAACACCTTGCTGCTACATCCATAGCAACGATACGATTCTGCACTTTTTTGTCAGACGTATGCAAATGCAGTCGTTCCATCACTCGAGTGATGTTGCATATGGTGGTTTTTCATGCGTTATGAGTTACGACCTATAAACACGAACATCGATTACTGTTAGCACTGATGCGTATGTGTATGTAGATTTGTTTGCATTTAATTACAAATCCTTTGGTGAAATTGAAATCTCATTTGAAAATGATTTTTACACTGGGCTTTTAAATTTATCGAAGGTGCTCTATAACGAAGACATTTTTCATAGTTATCCTTGAACAACATTGAACCTTGTCTTTAAGCCAAATTTGCTTTGGAGAAGAGAACAGTTAATCATCTCTTCTCGTTCTCCATAATCAGGAAGGTGTTATCCTATTGGATGGCTTCGTGTAACATTTTTTCCAACCAATTCAAAAATAATCTAGGTTTGATTTGTTGTACAAAAAATAAGAGAAACGTGGTAGGAGATGTGGGAGAGAAAAAAAAAACGAAGTGGATTATCGCAATCTGTCTTGTCGTTAAAAAATGAGCCCAGACAGTCCAGGTTGACTGCGTAATTTTTTATGCAGCTGCTATCTCATCTCGTGGAAAATAAAGCTTCTTGGAAATATGTCATGATTAAAAAAATGTAATCATAAATTCCAAGTCTGTACGTTTTATTTTACAAGAGAAAAAAATATCTACCTATCCTCCAACGTAGTAATATAATTTGAAGTAAATCAACGAACTGTTGTAGCTTTGTTGTTTGATTATAATAATTTTAAATATAAAAACACCGATACCAATCAATTAGTTTTAAATGAAGTTATTTACTGCTAATTTATGTAAAGGTTCTCGTTTCTCATAGGGATTTAATTGTTTACGTTTTTTTAACTATTAGACTATTACGTGTACTGTATCGTAGTTTTTTATCTCATACGAAAGAAAATCAAGAAGTAACGAGTTAAAAACAGAAGAATATAAAAAGTTTCGTAATTTGATGTAAAGAATAAGTGATTATACAAAAGGACTAGAAAAAATGAGTTCCACTTTAATTTTTGTCTCACAGATAATCCTTTTGTCATTTTCCGGAATAATAGGGTAGTTTTATTTTCCCATTAGTTAGCATGTGCTCTATGGAAATGATTATTGTTGTTTAGCATAAGAGTTTATTTTTTGTAATATTGTACTTAGCATACAAATTAAATAAGCGTACATATACTTGCTAAAGTTCATTTTCGGTCAGGCAAAATTTATCTGTTTAATCTTTTCTTCTATAATTTTTTTCATGCAGGATTTTTATAATCCCTACTATTTCTGTCCCCACCTTCGGTATGTACGTGTATTTTTTCTCTTTGTACTTTTGTCCTCGATAAAAAATGTCTCTATTGTCTGCTGTGCAGAATCCCCATCATTTGATGTCAAATGAACTGAAGCGAGATGCAGAGGATATAAAATATAAGGGAACGTAAAGAGTGGTAGACTGAGCTCATTGCAACAGGATTTTCGGCTGATCTAATATTTTCGATCAATTTTTTTTTCTTCGCGATGCCACCTTACTGCTGTGCTCGCAGGTTTTCAGGCATCTATCCCTGATCCGGGTATTGGGATTATATTTAGAAATAACATTTTTTCATGTGTACCACAAAAAGTACATACGATTCATTAAAATTTTAAATTGAATATGATGAAACGATCGCTGGTCCGTACTTCAATAAGAAATTTAAATTATAATTAGTTGTTTAACTTGTAGGCAGAGGTAATTTGCGATTAAAAATTTACCCGATTTAGTGATGCAGAGGTTCTATAATATACGTGGTTGTTATGCATAATAATTTGTAACGTAGTGAGGTCTCTGTACTTATTTATGGAAATTTAAAAAGTTAATTTAGTCAGTGAAGCAAACTTTTAAAACTCTTTACCGGTTATTTTTTTGAATTCTGTAATGCTGAATTATTTTAATTGAAACTGTCTGGATAACCATAATTTCTTTTGTTGTTTCATCTCTTTGTAATGGTATTGTTTATCACAATACTGAGAACTTTTGTTTTATCTCCAATGGATTTACAGAAACATTTCAGGGACGTAGGTACAGGCAAGAGGACATTTATTAAGTTAATTAAATAGTAAACATTATCGATCACTTTTCTGAGCTTAGATAAAATCCTTAAGATTTATAAATAATGTTTGGATCAGTCAAGTGAACATAAAATTTAGGAAACAAAAAAACTTTTGTAGACAATTGTTTATCAAAAAGACTGTTTTGGCGATTCATAAAGCCTTGGTAGAGTATTTTTTAAGTATTGTTAAGTGGCTGCGTGTAATGAAAATTAAATATAAAGAATAATTGTGAATAAAAATATGAATGGAAGTTAGTTCTCAACATTCTTATCGGCAATAATTTTCAAGCAAACTTTTTTTCAATCCACTGAGCGAGAAATCCTTATTTTTCTCATATAATTAATAGATTTCAATCACTTTCTCGAGGAATTTGATCGTGAAAGCTTTTCTCATTAAACGGCTACGTTTAATCTTTAGGAGCAGAAACCCAGGATGTATAGCTACGTGACATTTGATGGAGTCTGATGCTTTTTCTTTTATCTTTTTCCCCGTATAAAACCATTCCACAGAAATTAATTACTTTCCACTTCTGATATTGACTCACGAATCTTATTCCAGTTATCTTTTTCTTTTTCTTCAGTTTCACTGAAGCAATTGACATCGACCTTCAAAATTCTTCCTTGAAATGTAAGAGTATATCAGAGGGTACAATATAATATTTTTTCACACCATTTTACGTACGGTGCAGGACAAAATGAGATAAAATCATTACCAAATAACTTTATCAGCTACAGTTGAGCACTTCAGCTTTTGTTTAGTCTGGGCTAACTTTTTCAATTAATGAGTGCAAATATCTCCGCTTTTTCATACCACTGGTATTTTTGTTTTCGATTTGTGTTTCTGCTGTTGACGTGTATTTCAAGCCCAGTGTGTGCTCACGAACAGAGCCTAGAATGAAAAATATGAGAGCTTCGGTTGCTTTTGAAATATCATCGTCACCTATTATGAAACTCTCCGTTACTTTCTGCTAACTTCGATAATAATGGGCTGGGACTTGTCTATCGTTAGTGAGCTTATGTAATTTTCGTTTTACCCTTTGGTTATCACTAATTCGTCACATCTCATTCTTCTTCTTTTCATTTTGAATTTTTTATTTTTGTAGGTATAAGTTTTAGATTGTTAATGATAACTATGCGGAATGCAGCACTTCACCATTTATTTGTAACGAGCATTACGATAAAAAAAAATAATAATAATAATAACACTATGTATACAGCAGAGGAGGAAAAAAGATCGAGTTAACTCGAGGTAGCAGCACTTTAGCGCTTCGTGGCTTTCGATTACTTTTTTTTCCGCTCACACCTTTTCACCACCTTCTCTCTTCTTTTTTTAACGCTTCACTCTATTTTTTTCTTATCGTTCTGGCTTGTGTTCGTCAGCAAGTTGGAAACTTGGTTGTTTGTCGACGTCAACGCCATTGATTTATCGCCTCTTGAGGAAACAGGAAAAAAAAGAGGAAGAAGTAGTGGAAGGTTTCCTGGTTATGAACAGTCTTCTCCTTTTTTTATTCTAGTCTTTCTGGGAAGAAAACGACTTAAAATCCCACTAGAACTGTCATTGATGACTCAAGATTGCGTGAAAATTTTTTTTCATTTGAAAAACAGGTACTCAGTTATCCCAATACAAATGACAACTTAATTGTCAAATAAAAATTTAAGCCGTTGTTTCAAAGTGTGAATGTCATTTAAACGGATCAAGTATTTAGGAAGTAGTTCATTAAAGCTTTTGATACACACGCAGATACTTGAGATAGGAACTGGAAGCGCTTTGGGAAGATTTATCACGGGTGAAAGACAACGTACGAGTATAACGTCTTATCTCTGACTCCTATAAGACTAACTTTAGTAATAGTATGAGCAAAGATGAAAGTTCAACTTCATCCCTCAGCTTTATTAACTAAATAACTGCGTGAGATGTATTAATTTCCACGAGCAAAGATCATCTTTACAATGTTTCTATCTGAGTGTAGTAACTTTCTAAACTTCTAATTTTCAATCTTAACTGTTTTTATTAAGTTTACGAATTTGTTTTAAAAGGAAATAAAAATTGGTCCAAAAATAAATACCAACTAGTAACAACAAGAGACATTCAAAACTGCATTATCTATGTCCAACCGTATTAATGTGTTGTTTCTTAATTGTATCACTAAGTGTATCAAAGCTAAGTAACTTTTAGTAAACTGTGAATTACATGCCTGACCAAACTCTTATCATACTACTTATTTAATGTCAATAGAGGCATAAAAGATCAAAAATTTGAGCAAGTTGTTAGTCTGACTAAACTCAGATATTACTACTTAATTATATTGGCTGAAGTATTAATAGTAAACAAGTGATAAAAATTAAAGCTATATAGTGTCAAGAAATAAAAAATTTAATTTCAGTGAAAAGGTGTTAACCATGTGGCTGACTAAACTTGGGTATCACTACTTACAATAATTATTGATTAAAATTGTGGTACTGAGAATACGGACAAAGAGAATTTGTTTATAACTTTTTTATCATGTTTTACATCTTAAATAAAATTCTCTTACCACTGCCTAACTGTGTCGATCAAGTAAAATAAAGTATCATGACTGCATGGCTGATTAAACTTGGACATTTCTACTTATCCATGAAAAATAAGAGACCCACACTGAAAAAATAAGCGCTATGATTTAAGTAAAACTGTACTTAACAGCTACAAAAGAGCAACAAAACCCACTAAACGTACTTGCACAATGGTTCTCGATAAATATAAATATTAGTTTTCACGGGTACGGGCTTTTGAAATTTTATCAATAGACTCCGTCTATAAATATTGGTGTACGAAAAAAGAAGGAAAAAGTGTATTGAAGGCAAAGTTATACCTTGAAAGGTGATACAGAATTTTTCATTCTTTTGGAGCCAGTGAGTTAAAGCACACACGGACCATTAAGCAATAAATACGAAAAAAAGAAAAAAAACGAATGAAAATAAATAAAACAACAGCACGAATGGAAAATAAGAAAGCGCCAACTGTTCCACACCCAAGCGTGGAAGCATTAAATCTTTAGAGGAGCGGCTGCTATAATAAATAATTCAGGTGGTAACTCGGGAAAGGGGGAAAGATATTACTAGGTGGGCGCACGCACTAAGCGCGGAAATATTTATCGTCTGCAGCTCGGTGTGGTTCTTATACTGGATGCTATTGTCACTGGTATTATACGATCTGTCACCTAAGGCCACAGGCATATTGTTAAGGGTGTGCTTTTATGTGTTTCAGGATAAACGAGAGCACTGAGAGATCGCAGGTTTACGCCTTCTACAGTTTTGCGTCCACAGCTAGCACGTCAGTTGGTTGGCCAGCCAGGGGTGGTAGGCAGCTGCCCGATACAGGTAAATTTCACCTATACAAACTTCTTAATTCGCTTTCTTCTGTTTTACAATGGCTTTTTTCATTCATTACACTTTGTTTTTCTATGACACTAACTAAGTTTTGTGTAAGCGAGTTTATGTGTGTACGTATAAAATCACATAACCCTAATGCCTGGTTAGTATGAAGATAGAATCCTTATCTCTGCGACGACAATAGGATTTACGCATCATAGTTGTATTTCACACTGCATCGCAAAGAGTGATTTTCCATGTATTTGTTCAACCAGCTGTTAACATTTAATAATGATACGGAGATGAGACTCTTCTATGCTTTTTTCAAATTGACGCTCAATAAGCTCTGAGTTACAGTATCCACGAGAATAGAGATTGTCGTGAATTGCACGATGGCTATTTTGATAAATCTCGTAAGTCTTAATACAAATGAACAAATGTTGCTGTTTTATTCACCCGCTTTTTTTCTTCAGTACCAAACAGGGTTTCTCAGACAATTCGCTCTTTACTATGACGGTACAGTGCACTAACAGCAGCACGTTTCTTTAATACTTCATACGTGTCCTTGCTCTCTTTTTCCTATGTATTTCTGTTACTGTTATATTCCTTCTCTTTTTTATGCGTATTTATGTGCATTTGACCTACTATTCATAGCGTTAATATAAATAATCTTGTCCATTTATCACAGCGATGCTCATCGCTCGCATGGAATATTCATAATATCAGAAAAACACAAATACAAAAAAGTTATGGGATGAAGCCTGAAGTGAAATTAGCAGTCACACTTATAGCTACCCTCCATCTCAATCTTTTGAAGACGTGGGACTGAAGTATAATATAATAATTACCCTTTGGTATTTTTGAGCACCTATTAAGACGTACACAGGAGGGCATTGTAATGGCTTCGCGCTACTATCAAAGTAGCTCTTGATAGTTGAAACCTCATCGTGTAATCACTGTTCGAAGGAGATCTTAAACTTGAGTGTTAATGGCATAACGTCTCCGATGGTGAGCGTCGTCAACGGCAAACCGCTTCTTCCCTTCTCTCTCTCTCCCATCCTATCTCTCTGTTTGTCTGTTCTTCGGAGAAACTAAAACCACACGATTAAATCATCGGCTAACTATACAGAGTACATAGAGGCTTTTAAAGTAGTTGTTGTCATTGTATGCATTACAGAGCTAACTTATATTAGGGCTGTAGTTGATTTTAAGCTCGATGTATATTATCCAAAAACTTGTTTTGATGCTTCACTTGCTTATTAATGTAATCTGATTTTCGAATAATCAGTTATGAATATTCATCAAACGCTGAGCTCTTGATCTTTGATGTACTGACCTAGTATGAAAGGGGGTCGAAAAAAAATAAGTGCGAATACCGAATACCTAGAAAATCGGCCAAGCTCCGAACGAAGTCATCCCTGCAAAAAGCAATTTCACACCGGGCGCTCGAGAGCACTTGGTGGTCAGAATTTTTTCGCAGCCCCAGCCACTCACTTCGAATTCCTCTACTAAAATTAGTGGTTGCCAGTAACTTGTTATTGTGGTAAACAAAAAAGAAAAAAAAAAAAATATCTCGATGATTGGATTCTCAAAGTGAAAAAGTTTACTGCCTCCAAAAAATATAAGGCAAGCTTTCAGTGGTTTCTAGTTATATGCAACGATTCTCGATTACCTTGAAGGTAGATATACATTAGATGGAAGTGCGAGAAATATAAGAAGGGAGTTCTACTCAGGGATCCTCATATGCGTTAAATTGGAAAACCATAGCTCACCCTCCGAGACGTAACTCTAGCAAATCTTATTACTTCTTCTTCGTTTTATTTTATTTTTTTCCTTTTCTTATAGAGCTTTATGTTTTTTACGGAATCCCAATATTCTTTTCTGAAATAGATCTTGTTTTCAATACGATTGGTGAATAGATTGAAATTCTGATATTCTTGGCATGATAATTTTGATAATAATGAGAATCGCCATAGAATAAAATTTATACGAGCGTGATTAGACACTTTAGATGAAGTTGACATTCATTAAGACGAGTTATTCTCTTCATTTTGATGAGCACGCATATGAAATTTCCGAGAGAAAACAACGTCAGACGCATGAGAGGACAAGGGTGAGGGTAAACACGCGTTTGAAATAAGAGAAATCGGAGAAACTTCATAGCCCATCTGACAAACAGATCAATAAAGAAGCTTCTGGTTGATCCATCTCTTTCCATTCCTCCGACACTTACTCTGCTGCGTTGCAGCTGTGGCTAAGTGTAGCGATTTATTATTCATTGCCCTACTCCTCCTCATAGTGCCTGCAGTCCAGTACAAAGTGCGGTTACTTTTGTGGTTCGGCTCGTTCTCCCATGTGAATTGAACTATGAAAAAAAAAAAAATTTAGTACTGATAAGTACATCTCTCGTTTATTTGTCATTAATGTGCTTTCTTCTTTATTCATACTACGGTTTTACTGAGAGTTTTTCTTTTTCGAACACGAGTACAGAGGAAGCTGGGTCTTACAAAAATACTAACTTTACTGTAATCCAATTTAAACCCAAAAGATACTAATCATTTCATTTTCTTATATTTTGTTGCAGAGTGTGATTGGATTTACGAGGAGCACCAGTGCCACAGGGGCTGCGTTTTAGCGAGTCCCGGATACCCAGGCCTGTACCCGCCAAATTCAAGGTGTCGATATCTCATTACCTCCAATCGAACTGTCACCATCAATATCTCCTTCACTGCTGTTTTGATGCCCATGACGTAAGTACAAAATACAATCCTCTATTAATCCAAAGAAAGTTCTATAGACAAAAGGTACATTTGATATTATAAATCAGGCCATTCGAAAATTCTGACAAATCCACAAATTCAGCCTTACTAAAATACTATACTTATACGAGTTTCAACTTCTGCTGTAGTTCTAATAGTTCTAAACTGACTCACTCCGTAATTTCCTTCCTATTTTTTTTTTTATTTTGAAATTTCGTATCAGAAGAGGAAATAGAGAACTGTCCACATGTTTTTTTTATCAAGAAAATTTTAATATTCGTTTTTCCAATTCTTGCACATCTCAGATTCCCGTTACTCTTGACGAGTTATATTATCGAACCAGGAATGGTAAGAAGTAAAGTAGAGTTTTAGGTTCTGGAAAATTCAATTCCCTACCACAGAAGAGAACATAGATCGAGATGAGGAAAAGGAAAAGGATATGTGGCTAACAGTATAGAACTTGGAAGAAAGTGAGGAAGGCTGTTTTAAAAGTTCGGTGGTTGAGGAGGGTAGGAACGAGTAAGGATCGAATGTTCAATGGATCTCGCTTTTACCAAGTTAAACGTCTTCGGTTCCACGTTTCCAAGCCTGCCAGAGTTTACCCCCTTCTCTCATCTCGTTTTACAATGACTACGTTTCACGGCCCAAAATAGTTGGATTCTTCTACATCTTCTTCATTTTCCTCTTTGCAGTTATATTGCCTATAATACACTCTCCTATTCTTCACCTCTCCATTCCTTCTGAATCAGATTAATGGGATATAAAAATAAATTAAAAAAAAATCTATTACCACGCGCAGCTGAACCAGCAATTATCCAAGTCTCTGGTGTACGCTTTCACGGTATTATTCAACACCTACAAAAGAACAATGAAGCAAAATAAGAAAGGGCTAGTGTCTAGACACTTGGGGGGCTAATGATCGTTAGTATTGCACCAATTTCCTAGCAAATGCTCGTTAAAAGGACTACTCGCAACGGCACCAGCAGCAGCCAAAGGACAGAAAAACACATAGATGCAACCTCACACCCGCAAAAGACGTTGTCTTCCCTGGCGTTCTCTCCCACGCTTTGTGCTTTCCTTCCTGCTGGGGTAGGTATATCGGGGATGGAGGATGGAGGGGAGGGCAATAAAAGCCAGCCCTTAAAAGGGTACGCTAGTACAGATGGCACACGCAATACTGCCGTACTGTATGTGGGGCTTCGCTTGGAAGGTGAAATGAGCGTGGAAAGAAGAAATAGACTTTCAAAAAGAAGAAAAGAGAAGATGCTCAGAAAAAGAGGAGAACATGGGATGGAAGAAGAAAAGATGTAGAGGTGCGTCGAAAAGCGCAAAGACTTTGTGCTCGCTCCTATTGACTGTGCCTCTTATGCTTCCCACTTATTTTTCGCAGTTACCTCATGATCGAAATAAAATAAGTGATCATAATGAGCATGATATGTTACCTGTATTCAGTTGGTTATGGAGAAAAAAGCTGTTACTTTGATAATATGTACTTTATTATAGGAATTTTTCTCCATTTAACCTTTTTTCGCTAACACGGAAAAACTGATTACATCCAAAAGTTATCAGTGATCGTCTAAATCTTTGAAACACTTATTTATACATTTATAATGTTAAACACGACAAATGAACTTTTTTTCCAGAAAACGAGCTTAGAGGAGTTCTCGAATTGAAAAGCATATCATTTTCCAGGATACACGTATGCATAGTACACGCTGTAAAGTGTAGTACACACAAATACAGGCAGATAAAGGGAATTCGGTGCGAGAGATAGAAAAGCTGGGCTTGAGCACACGAAAGAAATAGGTAGATAATACACTGTGGAGTGAAAAGCAAACCGGAAATGGAAGGTTGAGATGGTAGAGAGTTACAAAAGAAGAGTATGGAAACTAGAGGTGGGTAGAAGATGCAACTAAAAAAAAAAAAGAAAAAAAAAAAACGCAGAAAGGAGTTAGATGTGGTGCGCACATTCAAGTCTGAAAAGAGTGCATTCATCTCTTACGTAAATGATCCTTCGTACGAAACTTCTGACAACTCGTATCCTGAGAGAGGGAGAAGCGAGATTGTAGCGCCGCGACTGAGTCACGCGTTTTTTACGTGCCTGCAGCGTACACGCATGTGTACATCTCAAGAACCACATATATTCTTTCACCTCAGAGGATTCAATATCTTGTGGAAAAAGTTTTACACGGAACGTATTCCCGTGACGATCCTGATGTTGCGTATTAGATGTACGCACATGACAAAGTACATGTATACTCGTGATCATGGAAAAAGTAAATTTACCGCTTTTTGCTTTGTTACGTGTCTCTATAACTTATTCTCTATATGTACGCATGCCTCGGACGAAAACATCAAATTTTAACAAGGTGCTTCATTACTGGTAGATAGCTGGATACAGTTATAAATATGACGCACATTGTATCTGGCATCACAGCGAGTGAGAGATGGAAGAGAGGAAAAAAAAAACAAAACGAAAAGATACAATAACGATGCGAGAAAATGATGATGTGTATACAGATATAGAGACAAGGGAGTTGCGAAACAGGCATAGAGGTAACCGTCGTTATCGTTCGGATGGTTCATCGACCTGGTTGCCTTTTGGTATGTTGGTAAAAAAAAAAAATTGAGAAGGAACTGCCAGTGTGAGAATTTTGCTCTCCAGGCCATTATATTATTTACAAACTTGTATGCTACGGGCACTCGTGTCTACTTATGTATTTCTTTCTTTTTTTTTTTTTCCTTGTACTCTATCGTATCAACTTACACTGAAAAATAATCTCCTCATGTCCAGACTGATAAAGATTATGTCTTTGCTTAAGATGTATCAATCGGCCCATGGAATGTAATGACCAATGATCTATGCAGTGGTAAGCCATTGAATGTATGCAAATGTTTTGCGACGGACCTGCAGCACAGAGTCTATGTGGCAGAGACGGATCAAAAGAGCCAGTAGGAGTGAAAATGTATGAACTGCATCGCGGGCACTTTGATTCGATTGATTTTGTTGTTGTGGTCGCCACCACCACCTTGGTGAGAATAGGGGTCGCGACGTGAAATGAATTTTGCCTGGCTTTCTCTGGGGAGGAGGGGGGGATGTTGTATACGAGTATACCAGCACACGTATGCGAATAGGTGCTGCTCGTGCTGAAACCACGTCAATCTGCGATAGGTACGTGAATATTAAAAAGGCTTCCTCATGTCATTTTGCAGCGCAACTGAGCCAGTGGTTGATTTTCTGCATCTAGTTTCTTAAAATATTTATCCACCATGTTAAATTTACTTTAATTTTTGCACAGTTTTATAAAGGTGATCTTACATTGGTTTTGAAGGTGTATGGTTCTTTATGATAAAATTTTATAGAAACATTTTAGTGCTACCCCACTAAAAGACAAAACAAAGAGGGGGTAGAAGAAATATACATTTGACAACATCGGTGTCTACGAATATGTAACTTTGCTTAAATATCTTTTTCTTTTCTCACTTTTTTAAAAGCAGACATTGATTGATTCCACTGGTTATCATTTTTTTATTTTACCAAAAAAGCTAAGTACTGGTTGTTTCATAAAATAAAGTGCTGCAGAGGTTTTTATAAAAAACTAAAGAGAGAAAAATCGAAAATGGGATGCAAGCCTTCTGGATATCAAGCTTATTGCACCAAAAAATGTGTGCTTGGGCTCTGGGAATTTCCTCCTACCGACTGACCTGAGCTGTAGAGTTAATCACCTATTTACTATAATTTTGGCCTCTTTTTTCATAAAGCATTTAAATTCTGTTCAACAAAATAATTCTTATAACTTGGGAAGCCACGAGAAATAAAGCAACGTAATAACTTTTGCGAAACACTCGGCCAAAAACAATGAAGAAAAAATAAGAACCAGAAAGTGTCAGAGGACAGTACGGGTAAGACGGAAGAAGGGCCATTTGTCTGTCAAAAAGTTGAAAAGTCCTTTGCATTTTCTCTGTCTTACTGAAGAGGAGGTAGATGTATCTCGCAACACTCACCTGGTCTAACAATTTCGTCTGAACTAGTATTTTCTCGTGCTTCCCCCTAAATCTGTGCTAGTCTCTTCTCGACCGAGTTTATTGGCCTGCTTGGGAAGAAGAGAAGCAGAGCCTCGAGGTCTTGGACCCCGGTAAACTTGGGGGATGGCTCGTGAGTTGGTAGGTAAAGTCGAGTGGCCGAGCAGACCTGGGGGAGAAACTTTCCGAGGGTGGGTATCTATGCCTTGGTGGGGAGGAAGTGCATTTAAAACTCGAAAGTGTTGGGGAGAGCTCGCGGTAAATAATAACCAGCCAAGAGAGGTACATGTCATGGTGTGCGAGTGTATGGTTAAATTAAGTGGCCAACTTTTTCACTCCCTTTCTCTCGCGTCATCGGTTGCAAGAAAAATTTAGAGTAAAAGGAAAGAAAAGGGATGAGGTCGAGATGGCAGGCGATTGAATCCGAAGCTGAACTGAATTTGCCTTAATTTTATTCAATATGCTTTTCCTTCCCCGAACCACACACGCAGTCCCCAAATTGAATCATTTTTTCCTTCCTCTATTCTGTACCCTTCTAGCCTCTTTTTTCCTCAAAATCATACAGGTACTTTGTGCTATCTCTCTTCTCTCCACGATCTTCGACTAAATAATTTGAAATTACCTTGGGATCCCTTGAAAACCACTTCCTCTTATTTCCAGTTTTAAAATTTTTTTTTAAATTTATTAAAGTCTCATTTTTTTCAAACACTTTTGTAAAATTTTCTCTGATGAAGAATTCAATATGAAATACTAAACGACGTGGTCTTAAAGAAGGGATTTTTATTTTTTCCATACAGTTACCTACCGTTTAAAACATCGAAGGATATCGTTTTATTTGATCACTGGAGAAAAAAATATTGTCAAGCTCTGAATGAGTAAGCCACAGGGCGATAATTAATTAAAGCAAGGCAAAGGGAAAAAGAAGTGCGTGGCGATTTTTTCTCTCTCGCGTTTATGCCGACGTCCGGAGCAGAGTTTGCGATAACTAGAAAAGCAAAGTTGTCCCCGGCACGCTGGCTCCACTCGTAGGTATTGTTTTAAGTTTCTTATACTGGTATATTTATGTGCGGTATAAGGGGCCGGCGAGTTTGTTCTTCCTGTGCTTAACGGGAAACACTGTGCGCTTGTCACAAAGCTTTATTCGAGGGTACTATTTAAGGTCCTTTTGCAAGTACACCTACATAATGAAATCAGTTACGAGAGTCCACTTGGATATGTATAAACACCGACTGAGAATTCGTCGGGTGAACACAAAAGCATTGCTGGAATTACTCGGAAATTGACTGCACCGAGAGCAACAGAAAGGGTCTGGGCTGTGAACTCTCGAGTTATTTCTGGATATAATTGAGTGCGACAAACAAAATAGAAGGTAGTGATTGTTTAAAGATTAACCTGGTTTAAAACTTAGTTAAGGATTTTAACGAGAAATTTGTCCCTGTTTTTCGGGTGTACATTCTACCGTTTATGGAGTCATTCTATTGTTATTTGAGTCTTTATGTTTATACAATTATCAGAACTCCCATCTCGTTGTTCTCAATGGTTCATTTAGGGCTCTTAAATTAGAGCTTTTGCAATAATTTGCAATAATACAGTTAAATCATTCTTTGTTACTTCTCGAGTTAAAAGCGAGAACGAAAATTTAATTGCCGTGTGGCACAAGCTGACTTTCATAACTACTTCGATGCGTAAAAATACTACCAGGAACGCCTGAAACGAAATCTTATTCGACGGAGATGTTTGCTAGCAGTGAGTTGTGTATGAAAAAGCACATAAAATATAAACTTTGTGGCATAAACTTAATCCTCAGCTCACCTTTGCGCACAACCCACGAATTTATAAGTAATACTAAGACGAAACCATAAGGCACAGATCGGCTTATAATCCCACGGATGATCACCGATAGGTTTGGCAAAGGAGGTGCATCTCGTTACACGCTCTAAACCTAATCCTCCATCGGTCGTGATTTATATATGTATGTCTACACAGATGCTAATCCGATTAAACGTCGTTTATCGTTCGTCTTGCGTTTTGGTACGGCTTTGAATTTTAGCTACTTAAAATCTTTCTCAAAGGTCACGAAATGACGATAAATACCCACTTTCTAAAGGTTTAATCTTTGTTCTCCTTGAAAGTGGTTTCACATTAAAGTGAATTGAATCCTCTCGAGCACTAATCTATTTTTATTGGAGTATTTAGCGCAAGCGCGTGCTATTTCCCGTCAATAGAATTTGAGGGTGCCAAAGAAATCCTAGAATCAAATAACAGTTGGACATGTATCTCTCATCTCTTTGCACTCGTTCTGAAACGCTGGTATGGTATAAGTAAAAATAGCGAATATTCAGCCCGTACCTATGATTCGGTAGCAAAGCTCGTAGCTGATGAAAAGCTCTTTCTCCCGTATACATCTCCCGCTCAGTGCTGCTCTCGCGTGAGTAGACTTCGCATCATTGGGTGGGGCATTAAAGTTGGAGCTTGCTCTTAAGATTCCTATGAAAGGTAGTTTCAGCAGAACACCAATTAGCACGTACATTGTTTGGCTGTCTCTCTGGAGAGTAATTACGGCAGGATCGTCGGCTCTTGCGTCATCAGAGTAATACCTGTGGGAAGAAAAGTTGTGGCTGCTGCTTGAGATGGAGCAGGCAGCTTAATGAGAAGTAGAGGTATATATGAGTATTGTAAGCGAACGCATTTGGTTTATACGTGTATCACATGGATGTGTCATACTGGCAGATGTAAAATGTGCTTTTGGTATCATGTTGCTGGTATATTGTACGTAGATGTACCTCATTTGCTTCATTAATCCTCTGGGTCACTCAACCCCTGTTTTTGATCCACCCCCCTTGTATAAGTTTTATTGCGAGTATTGCTGCCTCATTACAGCTAACTTTTTTCTGATCGAACCTATTGGACTCGTTATTGGATACTTATAGCAAGGAAATTATTTTTGACTCTTCGAGCGTGACACAACAATTACTTGCAATATTATTCTCGTTATTCCGTGATAAAACGACTGGATAATCAAGAGAAAGCATTCGGTCGATACATAATTCTAAAGGGTGAGTGCGTTCTCACGTACTATAGAAAAAGACGGGTGTACACTAGTATGTTGTCGTTAACATCTGAAGCTAAGCATACAAAAGCCTAGACAAGTGTTGAGCTGAAAACTTTTTATTTTTCTATGTGACCTTTTGTTACCTCTTTATTTGTTTTTTTTGCCTCTTAAGCTCAAATGTATATTCACATACACGTAAGGGTTCGATGCGAAAATTTCGTGCTCAATTAATTTTTGCAAACTCAACCTCCAGGAACAAATAGCCCTGAGAAAATATAGAAAATTGAGAACGTAAGCTCCAAGTAATTCCAAGTCCAGGGTTTGCGCGAGACTGACTTTAATTTATGCCACTAATTTGTTTTAATTTCGCTGAGGGGGTGAGGCGAAAGGGCATTATTCATTTTACGCAGCAGGGAATCCGCGAATGAAAAAGTGCCTCCCACACCATCGGATGGAGGTAGTCAGTTTTCCTGTGCAGCTACGGTGCATTTCTTAACCCAGAGACCGCGGAAGCCCACTGGTGTACCGGCACCTGCCGGTATTAGGTTATTGCAGCAAAAAGTGGAAACGCGGGACTGAAAAAACTATGACCACACCTTCCCCGCGTCTTTCGTTTTTCTCGATTCGCCTCTTCCCCAATGCCGGCAGCGAAGGAATTACGGAATGATGCGACGCAGTTTTAAACGGATTATAGCCGCTTCCTCGCGCTCGTAGCTCGTGGCTTTTTCCTCTTCTTCTTCTTTTTCCTCTTCTGGATTCAAAGTACATTAGCGATGGGGACACTGTGTATACATACATACCGACGTATGAATGATGGCTTCCTCTCTGCCATCGGGTCAAAAATGCAAATGTGAAGAAGAGACTCTTTCCCAAAGCCTCGGTCGTACGGCTGCTTTTAAAGATAATTTACTGGGCTGCCCCACGCTTTTTGCTGTACGTATCCAACTGATGGATGCAATCTTTTAAATGGGCTCTGCTACCGTAGCGTAGTAGATTCTCTGGATTACTTTGGAATTAGTGTCCTGAAGATTCTTTTCACTTTTCTCCTTGTTTTTAATGTCACTGGGGGGATTATGAAATCTGCTCAAAATTCTGGGACATGTGTTTCTCTTTCTAAAATTCTTTCTTCCACTGCCACCTAAGTACTTTCCGCGATATTTTAGATTTTAATTTTATTGAGGTGCAGACAAAAGTTTTAGTGCATTACGAGAAATCTATTTATTCCATTTATTTTTAAATGTTACTTTATTCTTCAAACAATTTATGCGTTATTTTTATGGGAATTTTTTTACTAAAGTTCTTTTAACTTTCATACGGAGTACAAAAAAAGTGAAAAAATTCTGGAATTCATAAATAATAAAAAAATTATTGTAAAAATCCATGATAGAGTTTACTTTGACGGTAGCCTGCTCATGCTATTGTGTACACAGGGATATTCGCACGCTTGCCTTAATTTTCACCCGTCTTGGCGAGTTAATGGAATCATCGGAAACTTTATCCACTTGCTATATAACACCAAGTTTTCAACACCCAATGGGAGAACTTTTAATCTTTTTACGATCCCCCAAAAAAACACACACACACAAAATTTCAAAAGCTCCGGTTGATGTTTTCATTGCTTTCAAAGAGCCCAAAAAAAGTACTAAAGCATCAAAAGAGAAATAAAGTACATAGAACAGCTCTTTTGCGCTAACCGACAAAACACACAAAGAATAACAAAGTGTCACTCCCACACAGAGCTTTTTCACGGAATTTTCCCTTCCCACCTCCCTGCAACCACATCTGTTTCATATGTGTTCGATTTTACTTCTGGCCCTTTGAAAACGTTTGAAAAGTTCCCGAGTACATACACACAAATAGGTTGGGGGATGAGGAGGGAAGGGACCGAGGTTATCCAATTTTCTTGGCTGAGTAACTTGTCCAGCTAGAAAATGGCCTAAAACTATTTCCCCGGGCTAGCTTACGGGTACATGGGTGCCAGCGTTCTGTCATCTTGTGTACGTGTGACTGTACTATTCGTTGCTGTTCCTGATATCTTTTGCCCGCTTCCTTTACCAACACGCTTGATCAAGGTAAACCAAATAGGCCGAAATATTTACTGTTACCCACAACGAGCAATTTCCTTGCTCATTTTTACGGCTTGTGGACAAAAAAAAGCTCTGAATGGTGTGGCACCGAAGCAAACTAGAAAGAAAGAAAAATCCCAGAAGTTAATTTATTTTAATTTTTTCCTGACAATATTGGTGAAAAACTAAATTTCTTTCTTAACAGGGTACATGCTGGATGGCAATGAAAGAATGTTAATTGACAGAGCTGTTGCAATCAATAAATAAAATAGCTAAAAGTCAGCGTATAACATTAGTTGAGTTTAAGTTGCGGAAAATGAAAGTAACAATATTGAACAATAAACAGTATACCTTAACTAAGACATGAGAGATGTTACTACAAGAGTTGAGATGTAAGTTTCAAGCTGTAGTCTGATATATTTATTTGAAAATGTGAAATAAAATCCATACAGACGTTGTCGAATCAATCATGATAACGTTTCTACTAAAGTCTCAGCTTTTATAGCAAAGCCGTTACGTATGAACTAAATGTAAAAGAAGTCAAATCATTTCTACAGAGAAAAGAGTTGCACACAATCATATTACACCATACAATTGCTTATGAAACACACAAACAGAGTTAAATCAAGTTTTTTAGTTAAAAAGGTGGCACTGTGTTTCTTTTGCAGACACTGTACGAGTAATTACATCGCCGTTTACGCCGGTCAGACGACGAACAGCGCACTGCTGAGGACACTGTGTGAAAAAAAGACGGGCAGTGTGGTGCACGTCGGGAGGGACCTACTCGTTGAATTTAGGTAATTATGCTCATATTTTCATGCTCAGCTGATTTTAGCTACCAGTCTCTTGGAAGCACAATTGAGTTGTAATTGTGTGTCTTTTGTTACCTTAATTTTTTTAATGTGTGGCTTTTGCTTGTCAAGTTAATTGTAGTCAAGACAATCCAACACAACGTTGAGAAAAAAATTTTATATTTTTTTACGGATTTTTTGAAATAATTTATCGTGCATTAAAGGATCATTTAAAAAATTCGTTCTCGCTTAATTATTTCCGTCAGCAATAAGTACTATAAAACTTTCATAAATGGCACCAATTTCCTCACTGTTTACAGATCTGGAGCTGAAGTTTCGCCCTTTGACTACAACGGATTCGTCGCCACACTGAATTTTGTTGAAATAACGACAGAAGCACCCACGACTGCGAGCACTACAACGACTGTTGTCGAGAGCACGAGCAAAGCACGTAAGTAACGAGGAAACCTTGCATTACTTATTCTTCTTTGTACATGTCTCTTTTTGTATAAATTTAATGCTCAATTACTAAAAGCTCGTATGACGACTATAAATAAAGTAACATAAGCCACAAGTAGTATAGGTCAATATTTGGTCAGACATTGTCATTACTTGAGTCCCTTGGTTTCATATGATTAGAGTAATCATTTCCTCGCGAGTCAAAGTAAAAACTGAGATACCGTAACGACACCCTCTCTCTCTCTCTCTCTCTCTGTCTCTCCTACTAGAGCTAATTCACTTGGAGAACGGCTTGGATGCGTTGGTGGACAGTCCATACTCGGTGACATCGCCAAGTGGCAGCCAACAGCAGCAGCGCAACGGCAGTACTTCAGGAGCACATCACCAGCGCTCCAACTGCGATGTCGAGGTCAGTGGTGACAAGTTGAGGATGGGCTTCCACAGTACGCGCAGTCGGACCGCGATCTTGGCTGCTCTGCCCGTCGTCTGTCGGCTCAGCCTCATCGGACGCGACTACGACACCGTCCACGTGTCTTTGGCCAACTACAGTCTCAAGTAAGCTCCTCCATACGAGGATGGGAAAGTGGAGATGGATACTTGACACTCTGTTTTAATGTATAGTTGGAGTAAACCTTTGCCTTTTTTGTATTTTTAAAACTTCTACCTTCACGAGGTACTTTTTGGCAAGAAAAAGCTTAAAAGACTATTTCAAAGTCATCCCACCAGAATCTTTTTGCGGTTGCGCGCGTGAATACCACATTATGCAATGGCTTTTGTTTTCTTTTTATACCCAGGCACTTTCGCTTTTTTATTCCATAAGCTCTGTTTGGAGACACTTCTTTTTACTTTTCCAGAGACGGAAGGTTGGTTAGTGGCTGACGTACACTGGTACACTTGGTATACCTTTGAGGGACATTAATTTTTGTATCTTTTTTACTTCATTTTGTTGGGGTGGGAGTAAAAAAATCACATGTCATTACTCAACTACTGTCATAATCGTGATGAATATAAATAAATTAATCTTTATTAAAAATTTTCAAAATTTTTCACGATTCACACTTACGTATAAATTTACAAACGCACTTGGAATAGTATTTCTAGTAAATCATATTGTTAAAAACACTTTACCACTAACCATATTTGTCGATGAGAGGAATAACGAATTGTGAAAAAATGTACGTCCTGTAGTTTCAATAGCACACATAAATCATATCGATGTGTTTTTTTATTGCAAAAACTTTTTCAATTCATCACCTTGCCACACTCGCTGAAAAAACGGGGATGAAAAATTGTTTGAATACACGGCCTGGAAAAAGCGAGGAACGACAGAATTTGAAAAATGATTGAATGCGAGTTTTACCTAGACCAGAGGACGAATAATATTCAAAATATACATGAAATGTTGCAACTTTTTTTTCAATCGCCTACCCTTGCAGTTACTTCCGTTCATTGGGTGTACGTAATGATGAGTAAATATTTCTTGTAATATCTTCAAAATAATTATGAGTCTGTAAATCAGTTTGTTTCAAAGTTCTTGATGATTTTATTCTATTGTAAGCATTTGGAGTATAAAAATTACTAATTTTCCACACGAGCACAGCGTTGCTGACGTGAAAAACAAACCACCAAACAGTTCACGTAGAGAAAAATGAACGAAAGCTAAACAATTATAAAAAGATAATAAAAACTCCAGTTAAGTGAAGTCGATATCAGAGTATAAAACAAAGGGTGCAATACGTATAAAGTCATAATTATTAACTTGTCAGGTAAAAGTAAAGTTAGTATAACTTCGTTCACTGATATTCGATACGATCGGACGATTTAAATATGGAAACAATAATAATTCAATTGGATATGTTGTTTTTACGCAACTCTGCAAGAATAGCATTAGCTCGATAGGCATATTTGCACGAGCGAATGAGGCAGTGCGGAAAAAGAGTTTGTACAGAAACAGAGGGAGTTTGTATTTGCTCAGGCCAACGTTTGCTCGCTGCCTCGCTCATACGGAGTCCCTTCTTGTGTTGGTGTGTATAATTAGTTCTCTTATCAGTTACAAGCCGTCGAGTGAGCCCAGATATTTCTTTTTTCTTTTTCTTGCTTCAGTTTCCTTTTGGAGAGCTTGTTTGTACAGCCAACGTAAATATACCCTGTACACATACCCCGACCGTATTTACGTACACGTTTTCATTTCTAATTCATGAGACGTCAGTACATTTTAATCTTCTTTTTTCTATGTTTTTTTTTTTCTTTATGGAGGTATATTTGGGTGGACCAGAGAGTATCTACAAGCACATGAGCCACTGTCTATTGTGATGCAAGAACGAGAGAAAATAATGAACAATTCCAAGTATAATTTTGGTTTTACTGATGCTGCTGCCGGTCTGTGTGAAATTCAAGCTTTGAGTAGATGGTCCAATCTTACTTACCTTAACTTTTTAATTGCAACATTGTTCTCGAGATAAAAAATGCGTCAGTGTGTTTTCGCTATTTTATATTTTCTCTATGAGAATTCAGTTTTTCATTGAATATGGAAAAACATTCCTTATTGTACTTTAAATTCATGAAAGATTTTCATCTTGGAAAAAAGGAAAATCGTATAACAGCATAAGAAGGTGGAGATTGAGGGTGAGACCCGTCAGGCGGAAAATCACTCATCGAAATGCAAGACCCAGACGCTTCCCAAACACATCAACATCCCTACTTTTGGCTTTTCTATGAAGTTGAAGTTGTGTGCGTGACTATACGTACACGTGTATACGTGCCGGTAATGCGAACCAGAGCATATCGCGCGTCTGAAAATGACACCTCCTCCATTTCCTTTCGAGCTAAGGAAATCTCGTCTTCGGAATATGACATCGCGGTGTGAGACACGAAAATTCACTCGAGCATATTTTTTTCTATCTCGAGTTCTCTTGATGGCGTACTTTAAAAAAGTACCCACCCAGAGGAGCAAGTAAGAGTTTGGATGTTCAAAGATCAATTGCATTTAGAGCAAAAACCGAAGTTAAAAGTAGCAAAAACTTCGATACAAAAAAGAATTACAATGTATTTTTAATAGCAACCAAGTGAGAAGTCAAAACATTTTACTTGATATTTGTTCTTCAAGATTATATTTACACTTTGTGGCTCTTGTCGACGAATACGTATTTGCTGTTATTCCACAAACAATAAATGCACAACGATACTTACGATGAAAAATTAATTTGCTAGCTTTTAAAACTGGTTTTTACGAGGTGTAAGTAGTATAGGAGCAGATTTAGTCAGACACATTATACGAGATTTAATTTACGATCATAATTGGTATCATAATTGGCATGTGCATTATTTGTTAGTATTTTATGATTAGTTAAACACTAAAATCATGAAATTAAAATAAACCTGATGAAAGAAGACCCAATATTGAGTGATATACTGCATGACTTCTCGCATAAACGCAACATGTCAAATCAAACAATTAGAAAAAAAAGCTCTGAAAAAAGAAAAATAGGACAAAAAGAAATGAACATAAGTTTTGTATGCGAGATCGTATCTGTCTATTGAGTAGAGGCTGATCCACTTTAGCACGAATCTCAAATATTATATTGTAAAATATATCTCTATACTGAAAAGAGAAAGCACTTTGCATAGCCTTGGGAATACCTTATATATTCACTTACATATTTCACGAGACTACCTTTCCTGTTCGTTCTCTTTATACACGTATATATAAGAATGTAAATGGCAGGTATAGAAAGGCAGGGGCCTACAAAAAAGCGAATTTTGTTTTTCCTTCAGAAGGTGGTTTCTCTTTCTTATTGTGCTTACGTGAAACCGTAAAATTGTTTTTCCTAAACTAATCTTCTAGCTTAGTTCTTTTCACTTAAGATGGAAAGATCTGCTTTAAACGTTAATTTTGTTAAAGTTGAGGTATCTCTTTTTTTCTGTTACAGCAAATCTTAGTACAATAAAATGTTATCTTTCATAGTTATTAATGAGATTTAAAAAATTTTCTGATATTTTTACATTTATCTTTTTTTTTGCACAATTATGTAGCTTTATGAAAATAAACTTTTTTTTATGTTAAAGCAATCTCTGGTATCAAAATTATAGAAATAATTGAAATACGTAAAGCAAAATCTTCCAAAGGCTCCTGCTAAGAATACTAGTTTTTAAAAAGTTTTTAATTTCATTTTTAATACTTTATTCTTCATTGTTTCCTCATTCCATAAAAAGTTGATCCAGCGTCCCTGTCTCATATATCATATTAAAGTCGACAGTCGAGTAGAATTTTTTCTCACATAAAAAGAAAATTCAAATAAAAACAAAAATTCATATTTATTTCAGCTTGGACTCTTGCAAGTCGCAGATAGAAGTACTCGATGGACCAATCAATGATAAAAGCTCCCCGAGCCATTCCAAATCGATAGGAAAAATCTGCAGCCACGATAATCAGCTAACTCATCAGAAACAGACACCGTATAACGAGTGAGTATGACAATAATCATTGTTTAATGAGTATACATTGCACATAACAGCTGACGAATTAGTGAAACTCCTGAAAACGTACTGTTTCGCGTAAATCGCAATCAAGTCGATGTTATATTTGTAGCCCATGAAACTTCGGATCGGTGAACGAGAGTACATAATAACTCGTACTGCACGCATAAACATCATAATTGACTCATTTACACGAGGAAAGCAGTAGAATAAGCTTAATAATGCGAATAATTGATCTGCTTCTCACTCCCCAGCCGTTTTAGCTAAAACTATCAGAACCCGCATATTACTCGTGTAATTTACATACTATAACGTCCACAGGCGTCGTATTAAGGGATGATTAGTCCTTTTATTTATGAATGATATGCTAGAGGGTTAATGACTCTCTTGTATTACAAATCCGACCGTTAATGGTACTCGTATACACCTAGAAGTCAATGTGTTGTATAAAGGTGTCTACTCAGTTAAGAAATAATTCATTGACGCTATTGTATTTTGATATGTGTTTTTGGTGATAGGTAAACACTTTATTTGGTTTTTGTTTTATTTCTACTTTACTACTACATCTAATCCAAAAGAAGACCTTTTTTTAAAAGTCAGTTATACTTTTGCCTCAATTATTATTGGCTTACAATTAAATTAAAAGCTCTCAAGATTTTCCAACATATAGTACACCTTTAGAAAACTTATTTCTATTTTCTGTGATGTGACCTGCACTTCTTTCGGAAGGAAGAAAGGAAGCACGTGGTTCTAGAGTCGTATGTATGTATATGGAAATAGAGGAAAACGAAAGTCAAAAAGGATAAGGGAAGAGACGAAACGGCAAAGGCTCGCGCTAATCTAACATGCCTAGAGAGAACAGTTCACGCTGACGTTAAGTGGATCGATGTAATTGGTACCAATCAGTAAAATTATATCTTATTTTATTATAAATCATGTACATAAACATTTATTTTGCGAAGTTCTATTTGGTAAGTCTGGTGCTCTACGCTAAAAGATAGTCCTTCACGATTATTAAATCCATTTTTAAATAAAAACCAGTTTAATTGACATGACGCCAATAGAACTCTCACAATCTCTATCAACTCCACTTTGACTATTAACTGATCTCATGTGGATAAAAAAGGTATGTCTCAAAATTTAAGTAATACGTACAAGTTATAGTCAGCCAAACTCGGTAAAGCATGAAAAAGGACTTAGGAAAAATTTAAAAAGTAGGTGAAAATTAAAGTCAAATAAAACCAGATACGCAAAGTGCTCTGTAGCACAACCTATGGTACATCAGTAAAGTTTAACTGACCACCCTCTATTTACACACATTATACACTTACTTCCACAGTTTATCTTTACCGATGCAGTATATAGTAGACCAGAGACGTAGGGGTTTTCAGAGATGTGTTGCGTACACACCTACCAATATATGTTGAATGTGGACACTAGAAAGTTACACTGTTTGCCCACCCATAAACACACGGGCACTAAATGTGGACATGAAGTCCAGGAGTCTCGGAAGGGTTCAACTGTGTTGTAGTAGACATTGCTCACACGAATACGTTAACTGTGGACGATGGCTCAGCAAAGCTGAAGACATGAAACTCTAGGTGAAAACAAACAGAAACAGAGCCAAAAAGGCATCAAACCACTCACTGGGTTGCTAACTGCAAACGACGAGTCCGATATAACGGTCTATCTGTACCCGTGTGCTATACCCACTCATCAACAGTCCTAAATAGTAAGTATACCTGTGTATAGATGAATAAGAAGTATTCGAGAGATGCGCTGATTTCGCAGATACGAGGCGTCCATACATGATTATACGATTCATGTAAGGGAAGTACAAAGAGGTCGACTATCTAAGACTATTGTGAAATCCTTGGGTCGATCGATAGATATTGTATGGATATCGAATGTCTGGATTAGTAACTTTGTGTGAGATGTAGCTACTTGTGTGTACATGACAGTTACAGTAATTTAACTGCTACACTATACTTGATCGATACTAAGTCAGTCACAGGTAGAATGATAAATAATCTGTCATTTGCTAGTTTTTATTATCAACCAGAAAAATAATAAACAAATTTTAAAAATTAATGAAAAGCAAAAAAAGATGTTTTATTTATAAAAGCTAAAATTTTACTTGTTGTTGCCATTAATGATTGTATCAATTTTTTAACTTGTATGAGCAAGTTTCATTAGCCTTGGAGAACAGAGAAATGAAAAAATTGTAAGATGATTGGAAAACTTTGATGGTATGAAATAATGACGACTGGTAATAATTAGATTCAACAGCATAGTAGATCCTCGGTCAGATGGAAATACCTGCATTGCATTTCGATTAGACTTCGATGAACGACTCGAGGATGGCGGATAATGGAAATAGTTTTCGTTATGAATTCGATCGCAGAAGTAAAAGTATGCACCGATATAGATGAAGGTATGCATATATATATTCAGAAATCGAGAGAGTGGAGCTCTTGATTTAATAAAAAATCTGCAAACTAGCTACACAATTATTGTTAGCCATGGTGTTGACGACAGTAGTTACGTACTTCTGAATATTCGTTATTTCATTTTCAAGTACAACTGTACAGTTAAAAAGGATTCCAATTTCGAAAAATGGCCAATAAATGCAGTCTATCTGTGACTCCAAAAGAGACCGAGACACTTGTGTGTCTGAAAACAGTATCACGTGACCAAAATTTACATCGCGTGATTTTCCTTTTGACAGTGATCTTCTTGACTTGAAACAAAGTTGGAATATATGCTTAAGAACTAATCAATAAAATGCACCTAATATAGTCTAAATTACTTGTCTCTAAGCCAATATTTTTAATTTCAATGCAGTTTGAATAAAAGTTTATTGCAAGTACTTTAGACTGCTTTCCCAGAAGATGCAAGCAAACAACGAAAATGTTTGAATCATAATCAAATAACGATAGTTGAAAAAAATTTGATGTTTTAAGCGACAATATTCTTTGTGATGTATTTTTATAAATGATCAAACGAAACATACCAGACCAAATTGATAATTACGACAACTTGCGAAATTTTGTTTCTCGAAGATACGTCACACCAGAAACATTGTTTGCAAATTTTATTTCTTTTAACTTACAATTTTTTTAAAATTTTGGCTTATGTATTAAAGTGAACTCGAAAGTTGAGTATTGGCTGATTATTTTGTAAACATATATAAAAATTGATTGTGCTAATCAATAATAACATTATGTTCTATTTTTTTATATGTTCCAGACCTAGGAGGTTCTCGTCGAGCAGTAGAAACATGACAATCATACTGACGCGAGCCAGTGACGAAGACTACTTGGATGTTTCGTACTATTTTCACAACGGTAAAATATCTTTAATTACATTTCTTTCTTTTTGATCGCAATTACACAAAAAAGTACATAATTTTGAGACGAGCTTTCTGATTATTTCTTGGTACAAAAGAGATGATGATCGAATTGTAGACATGTACGGTGCTCTACGGTGTCTATTTACGGTGATTCTTAGCTTCCTCGGTAATTTTGCACTTAGTAGCTCTCCGTCAAATAGGTTTGTCTCGACTAGCTAACCGTACGTATGCATATCTTGAATGCTACATACATTATATACACGACACGTCAAGTAATTATACGGAGACACGCACGAGGCATCACTTACAGTTTCGATGTCAAAGCCGTAGAGTGACGAGCCCAAAGTGCGTGTGGCCTTTGATGTTGTAGATGCCTCGTACCTCTTCTACTCCGTTTACCCCGTATCGTCTTGTATGTACGAGCCAACCACTCGGTGGACACTTTGAGCGTGTGAGCATTGACGAGTCACTTGGGTAATCGACCCCCGTACCTAATCTTATTACCTACGCGTTACACAAACAGAAGGGTACATACTCGAGGACGATGTTTTCAATTGCTTTGATTTTAATTTAATCTCTCGTTGCACTGACTTTTGGAAAAATTTTCTGTGGATCTACCGTCAAACTTGTAAAGTTGAAGAAATTCGATCGTAAAAATTAAAAAATTTTAATTTTTCCGTCGTACAAGCACAATTGAAAGAGCGTGTAGTTAAAATGTGGAAACACAGATGAGAGTGACTCAGCAGGTAAAACGACCCTATGAGTCATTAGATAAACTACAGAAATTCAGGAGAAAACGTGCAAACAGCGGAAAAAAATTTTGAGAGCTGAAAAATTCAAGGAACGAGAGGGAGAAATAGAAAAGGGTAGGTCATTATATGCAGAATATATATTACTCTGTTAACAAAGGCTAGAAAGTTATGTAAACCTGAAATGGAGAACGAAAATTTAGGTATGTCAGAGTTTTTATTTGTACTAATAATTTTAAAGCGAATAATACTTGTGAGCGAGATATTTGCTCTATATATTGGTATTAAGTAGGCCGTTCTCGATTCTCGAGGTTTCGCTGGTGTCCGTAAAAATAATTTTTCCTGGAGCGAGATTTTGGCAGAAGGGCTTTTCAAATCATATCAATACTTTTAATGATTAGTTTTTTTTTTTCAATATCTGTACATTGCAATGTACATTCTAGATTATTTTTTATTGTATCACGCTTTTATCTTATACTCCAATTTGGATTTCCTTTATTCATCTAAGTATCAATTACAGTTTGTCTGACTCTGCAAGGGTAGTACTACTAGGAAACTATTTATTAATTTCTCTTGCTTATGGACACCATTAATTGTATTTGGTCTGAGTATGGCACAGTATTACTACTAGTTTAGTAAATTGGTTTTTCGTACCTCAGAAGAATAATATGAAATGTAGTTTGCCTGACCATGTCAGGATATTGATTTTTGTTCGGTAAATTTTTACCTGGTTTTCTCTGTACAAAGGCAATACTAGGTACAGTGGACTATGCTAGAATATTGCTACTTGTTCAATAAAAATATTTTTTTTGTTCAGTTAGTGTTAGATTGAGTTTGTCTGACTATTTTGAGGCACTACTACTTATTAAGTAAACTGCTACTCCCTATTCAACAGTAGTATTAGGTGTTCGGACATTACCACTTGTTCATTGAATTGCTTTTTCTCTTGGAACAATATTACATGTAGCTTGGATGACTATGTCAGAGTATTATTACTAGTTCAATGATTTACTACTTGCGAATTTTTCTATTCGAGAACAGCATTGGAATTCGTCTGTCTGATTATATCAGGATATTACTACTTGTATCGTAAACTGGTAACTAGCTTTCCCAATTCACGTGCAGTACCAAATGTAGTTTAGCTGACTATAGCAGCATACTACTACTTATTCGGTAAACTGCTAAACCTAAATGATAATATAACCAGGTGTAATTAATATGATTGTGGAAAGATATTACTACTTGGTTTTTCAGAAATCAAAGAAGAATCTCATCTAGTATAGTTAAGGGTACGAACACTACTTTAAAAAAAATTCACAAAAAATTAAATACCTTATTCATCGCTGCTAAATAAAGGAGACATAAGAAGATCAAAATATTTATTATAGAGCGTGAGTCTGGGACACAGCAACCCAAAACTCACTGCGACGTCGAGTACTACGGTCTGAGGTCGCCGAGGACGGGTAAGGTGGTACATCCCAAGGTCAACAGGTTCAGCTCGGGAAACGTCAAATGCAAGCAGTACTTTATACCAGCAGCCAACCAGGCGGTCATCATAACGGTACGTGGAAAGCACTGCACTATCAAAGAGTGAAACGTACAAATTATTATAATTTTTCAAAAATATTGTATTATTTTCCTTTGTCCTGATGACCGGCAGTTGAACAGTACAATGAACCAGACGCACGACAGCCAGTGCACGACGCAGTGCGGCGATCAGGGCTGCAGGTGCGCGAGCAACCGCTCGCTCGACGACATCGACCACCTGCTCCTCGTCTCGCGAGTCCACGGCAACACGCTGGCATGTCTCTGTGGAAACAATCGGGTGAGTCTCACTTTTTTCTGGAATCCAACATATCCTTGGAAAACCATAACATGATATTGAACGGATAATTGTCATTACGTGGGTAGGATTGGCTGCCGGTCGAGTTCTGGAGCACGACACCGGTGTACATCGAGTGGTCGAGGTCGAGCCACACGAGCCTCAATCTGAGCGCAGACTACGAGTTTGCCGACGACACGTTCTGCGGCTCGTATCAGGCAAACGCCGGGAAACTCGAGGGGGAAATACGCGCCGGCTTCTCGGCCAACTTCAGCTTCGCCCTCAACCGGTACTACCAGCAAAAGTGCACTTATCTGATCGAGGTGCCAGCGAACCGAGAACTCGTCATCATGATCGAGTCTTCCCAGACGAGTGAGTCTTTCTTTCATTTTTTCTTTTCTTCCTTCAAAACATGTTTCGATTTCATGTCAATTTTAAATAACTATAGGCGTTAAATGCCTAAAGTTAACTTCATAAAAGTGAAACTTTAAACGCTACTTTCAATGGTAGATCAGTGGAGTTTTCAACTTGTACTTAAAATTTAAAATAAGATAAATATTAGTTTTTTATATAAAAAATGAGGTAATCACTGTGAAATTTATTTACGAATTTTTTTTTACGAATTTCATATTGGTACTGATGTTAATAGGTACTATTGCTTAAATTGGACAAAAATTGATCCAAAAGCTAGCCTTTTACATTATAAAATTCTCACTCCCTAATCCCCTCATTTTACGGTCTATATAATAAGGAGCTGAACCAACACTGGCAAATAACTTCCTTGGCCGAAAAAAAAGTAAGTCATGGCGTATTAAAGAGTTCTTGAATCCAAGTGGATTCGTGGGCAACGGAGACTTTTAAAATAATGATAAAAATACATCAAACAACAAAACGAGTGCATTAAACAAATGAAATAACGATGGTAAGATGGGATACTTTGAAGATGAGATAGAAAAAAAGTGGAAAAAAAGATCCAAACGTTTAACCGCTGCAAAGTTTTACAAAATTGTTTCTTCGTAAACGAGAGTGTTTACTCACTCACTTCTACATCGTTTTTTTGAGGTTGTACGCAAAAGTTTTACGAAGTAGTGATTTATATGTAAACTATGTCAAATCTCCTTGATACTGTTGGTTTGTTTATAAATGCAAAGTAAGCGAGCTCTTGAAAAATTATCATCGGGATACAATGATGTAATTACGCTCAAAAAAAATTATTTGAAAAGAAAGTTTGATGGGTCATATTTGGAAGGCTGTTCAATTAAGATTTAATTGGTTTAAGATATTTACCTGCTTTGTTCTTAATCAGTAAATTACTAAGGATGAGTTTGAGTAATGGTAAAAATCATTTGAGTTTTAATATGAAATAAAAATAAAAATTGTTTATTCTAAAAAGCTAATTGTTGAACAGAGTAAAAGATAAAAAATTTCTAACATAAATTCTTGACGAAAGTTTACAGATTGGCGTGCAAAGCGCGCTGGGATGGAGCTTTCTTGTACTGAAAAAGGACATTAAGAGATCGTTATCTAGATTCTTCAAGCGAAATAACGTGCAGTGCGTCTGACGTAGGATATTAATGTGCATATATATTTGCGTGTTCGCAGGACCGTGTACAGCTTGGAATCTGACGGTGCACGAGTACAACAAGACCAGCGCGAACAACGAGGGCCCGAGGCTGCACACCTTCTGCTCCCGGGACATTGCGAGGAACTTCACCATCGGCCAAGAGAAGCGCTCCGTCATCGTCAAGTGAGTTTTCTTCCTTCCATTGTCGTTTCTTCAATAATTTCACGTATCCACGTCCTTGTGTTGCTTTGGCATCCCTTCGCCTCCTTAAAAATTCTTGAATACAGTTCGAATGTATTACTTGCGCGTGCAGGTTGCAAGCTCTGGGCCGTACGGTGCCACAGTACGTGCTGAGGTGGCGAAGCCAAAGCGCATTAAAGTCACGCAAAAAAAACTCGCCTAACAGTAGCATCAACGTGGCGATGGTCAGCTCCTCGGTGAGTCCCAGCCTTGGTGGGTCCTCGTTATTCTTGCTGCTGTTGGTACTAAAGGTTTTGGTAACCACCTGATTGTAGCCAACATCGATATCTAAGTCATCAGCTCCTTCTCACCTCTTTGCCGTGTTGTACATAATGTATGATAAAATGTGTCTGTCTTGCACCTACACGATAAGGTGCATCTACCTGTAACTACGAATCTTCAGAAATAAACACGTAAGTGTTCATGTACTATATAAAAATACACCCAAACACGATATAGATTTTTGTAAGTTGTTGCAAGATGATATAAAACGAGAGGTCGAAAAACGTTTGCTACTGATTGTTTGGATTGTCTGAACTATTTATGATGATGAAATTTTTTTATAATACAAAATATGTGCGGGCCATTTCGACAATGAATTTAAGACGCTTATTTTAAGTAACAAGTAGTGCAGACGAATGATGGATGTTCCAAACAACGAGCCGTAACGTTTAAGGTAAAAGCCGTAATGTTATCCTTTATAAGTATAAAGTGACTGCCCCTTTTATTGTTGACGACTGTACTCCTGTACGCTTATTTAATAAAATTTTACATTTTTTGCCATTTTTGTGACATTACTGTCAATTTTAAAGGACTATAGTTGCTTTGAGCATTAAATGTCCACTAACTGTAGATCTACATCTCTCTTGAAAATTAAATTTAATTGAATACTTAATGTTCTTTTTGACAAGCTTCTCCTTCACGGATCTAGTCGTAAATGAGCAGAAGTAAAGCAGTCACCTTACCCATACACACACATACCATAAATATTTTTTTACAAGATAAGTTTTTGTTTGATCTACTAAGTTATTGATATAATCTCATGTCATCAATTTTGCTTCAGATTATTTGACACCCAGAATAAATCTGATATTAAAAAATTTTTGTTATTTTTGGATGAAAAATATTTTTTAATGTTTTTAAAACAAATATCATTTTTGAAACTTTTAAAATTATTAAAATTATTAATGCGTTGAAAAAAAAAAACAATGCAAAAACAAAAAAACTCAGCAAATTAAAGTGATTTAACTGACCATTATTGAATTTTTACGTACAACAACACTGTTATTGGCTCAGGTCCACGAACATGTACATAAAAGTAAAAATTTTTACATAGACAATACGTACCAAGCACTTATTGTTGCTAAACTGGACAAAAATTTCTTTTTCGATTGAAGGCTTACTTATGAATGTTCGACAAAAATGGAAAAAACCTTTTTTATTTTATTTATGTAACTATTTATTTCATTAACATTAAATACTTTGGAAATGTGTATAAAAGTAGATGATGCAAATCTAGATTTCCATTAAAGCTTTTTTATTTTTACTGATACGTAAATTAAATGTTATTGTGTTTTTTAAAACAAAAGGTTCTGACATTTCAAGTACGATTATTCTTTAGCGAAATAGAAGCAGTAAACTTTGAACGTTTTACTCTCTCCATCATTTTTTGTTTTAATCATGTATAATAATTTTTTAATCCATGTACATACTAAGCTAGTAGGTTAATAAATTAACTTAGATAGTGTACATAACGAAAATGTTTTTTTTCACTTCCAGAAGGTCAGAAATTATTAAACTTTTGAAAATGTGTAAAAATGACCGTAGACTAGTTAGTACATTATACAATAAATTATAATTAAAGGTGGTATAGGATTATTATAAGAAATCACGGAAATAATTCGTGTTTAATTAATTGTCATGATAAGTGTTTATAGACATTAGTAATAATACTGAAGAAACAAAAGTATTTTAACGAGCGAGCTTGGTCCGACTATGGTAACTGTCAATTTTATTACCAACGAATTTATTGATCGATCGAATGACCTTTTTTAAAAATGTTTTAAACAATGTTGTATTACTGAAATAATTTTAATTATAAACGATACTGGCAATGAACCCAAGAAAGAAAGCCTCCGTTAAATATAAATATATATAACTTTATGATGTATAACAACAATAAATATTTATTAACATTATAAGAACTCATAAGCTCGTGACAGAATATTTTGAAATAAAATTGAATTTACATGTTTAAAATGAGTTTTTTCAGTTAAATATTACAGTTCATTAACTATGCCTGACTTAATTAAAATCTACGTATCAGATACACGTGATTGTGATAGTTTACCACTAGTTTCGTCAATTCTTGGTATTGTAATTCAATTGATTAAAATATATTTTAATTCAGTTTTCTATAGTTTATTGGTTGATTGGAATAAAATAATTGAAACTAACGAGTGTGATGAAATTGATTGATCGATATTTTTAATGTCGATAAACTTATCTTGTGCCTTGTAATAGAAATAGTCATAAAACGCTTGTTGTCCATCGGAAGCGTGTCTACGACTATGGATTTCACGATCATGGGCCACCTCCTCTGCGGCTACCACTAAGCCCTCGATTAGAGGCACGTGCCTGTTTTGCGCTCGAAGTAATTGTTATGCGCCCATGTGAAACTTAATTCGTATCACATTATTATACATCGTATAGTTATATTTTAATATTTTTTGTAAATACATTATTATATAAATATGTACCAAACGAAATTTTACATATTACGTGCGCAACGATAAAATACATGTGTACAAAATTTGTGTGTTATTACTTTTCCTAACATCTCCTGGTCCAAATCTCAATTAATTCAAAACGGGAGCTTAGGGGTGGACGAAGAGCTCTTACTTGGCTTAAACTGTCGGTTCTGAGGCCTTGGAGTGAACAATATTAACTGAAAATCAGTGTTTTTTAGAACACTAATTTATATTGTAAGTATGGTGATTTTGGTCTAGATGTATTGGAATTTCTTTATGACTAACGTTTTACATAAAATTTTATAAATTCAAAGTTTGTTGCTTGTTATAACTTTATCAATAGATAGATGAAAAATTCATTGAGTTGTGGCGTTAAAATGTAATGCATAAATCAAGTCCTGAAAAATGAATCGTGTTCGAAAATGGTTGCATAATTAACGTAATTGAATAAAACAGACGCGGTGACGAGCAAAGGGGAGCTTTAATTCTCTGTACTATTACGCTGTGGATCGAATGTTTAATTAAATAGTCTGAGTGCATAATATAGAAGGGTAGCACTGATGGTGACAGATTATTTACGGACGATTGAATTTCGTATTAATTCTATTAAAATAGTAGTACCACAGCCGAACCGATTGTTACCAGCACACAAAATCGGAATTTGCTTAATGGTGACTTGAAATTTACGATTTTGCTTTTTTATAGGTATACTTGTAGAATTTTATTATTCGTGATGATATTTTTTTTTATACCCGTAACATCATTACATAGAGAATAACTACTGCAATATTTTCTATATTTTTAACTAATCGGTTTAGTAAAAAAAAAGAAGTTTCATTGCTCGTGAACTGCTGGTTAGCTATAGACTTAAATTCAAAGAAAACAGGTTTCCCTTCATTCCCTAAAAAAATACATTGAAATTTTCAGTGGTACACGCAAAAGATAAAGTCATGGATACAGTGGCTGACGTTGACTTAGATTACAGAAAGTAATAGCTAAGGAAAAATCAATAAAGCAGGATATAGAAGGACTTTTCTGCAAAGATTTCATCGATGAATTGGGTATCTGTTTGGTTTTCATTTCCCCAAATTTGATCTCATGTATGTGTTATTCTTCATGGTCAGTGGGCTGTACTATTTTAATTAAAATGAGAGTTCTGTTTGAAGATTGGGAGGGATAGAATGGTAAAAAAAGACTTCATAGTTACTCCTCAGTGTGTGGATTTCGAATTGAAATGAGAGAAGACTAATTTTGTCCTGATCCTTGTGGGGATTAATTCCAAATCAGCGCTAGAGCTTCTCTACTGTAATCCTACCAGATGAGAAAGGAGATGTACAAATCTCTTGCAGAGTGGAGGTAGTGAAAAAAAAATTTTATGTGGCACCAGAACTTTGAAGTTTCCACGTATATTATGATTTTTGATTAGTTTTGAGAGTGTAGATTTAATTCCATCAGTTACAAAATACATCCTGTAGGTAGTCATCACGTCGACGTGAAGATACTTACTACAATTATTTTACAGCCATCAGTAAATCACGAGCAAACGTTTCACTGGAGAACATATATTAGAAGGCACTAGTGTGCAAGATGGAAGGAAAAAAAGTAAAATTAAGGGGTGAGCAGTCTTTGTACTTTTCATCTCTTAATTCCGGGTGACACGTCGTTTCTTGCTTGCACCTCCTTACAAACCCTCGTCTTGCATTTTAAAAAGTTTCAAGCTTGCCCTCAAGTTTTTTTTGCTGTTTGGTCTCCTTCTTTTTCTTTTTCGTAGTAATTTACGAGAAGCAGCAGCTGGTATAAAATTTTCCACTTCTGTGAACAGGAGGATATAGAATATGTCTCTGTTCCGGTAAATATGGCTTTCCAACTTTGATTATTTTAATTCGTGTTAAATCACAAATGCATTGAATTCTAAGAATTTACATTAAGACTTTCACTAGATTGCAAGGGAGAAAAATCAGTTGTAAAACCCAATAACGATGCAAGGTGGTGAAAAGTACCAAGAGCCTCTTCTGTTCGTTTTCAAGGCAAATTGATGCGATGCAGCAGCCAAGGCTTATAATGCACTTAATGTGGACTCAAGGACGGGAGACCCAGGCAATTGGTAATCATTCCATTAAGGAGCTAGCATGTAAGGAGACTTGAGTGCCCCTTTTCCATTCCATTTTATGACTGTCTTTCATCATCTCATTCTCTTTTTTTCTTCCTCACGAATAATACTACGAGTTGTACTAAAATATCGTTTTAAAAATAAACTTCACGTTTAAATTTCATTTTTTTTCTAATATCATTATACGAACTACTCTTATTCAATTCAACGAGGAAAAGTATAATAAATAGTGCTTACAGCATCAAATCATTCTAACAATCAATCAATCTATAATTGTTAAAATTGCATGTGAGCATTCAAGCTGTAAAATAAAGATCATTACGCATTGTTTCTGATAATTTGGTCTTCAGCGAAAATAGTAGCTCCTCACAAGTGCCGTAAACGCTTACTTATGGGCGTTAGATATCCGTTTGATTATACTTTTAATAGATGTACATAAAAAATATTTGAGTGCATATTAGTCTTTTCACAACTTATTTCACTCTAGTAAAGACAAAATTGACAGAAATACTCGTTTTAAAAATCAACAATTAGAAAAGGCTCTTAACGAGAAAGGATAAGAAGAAGTTTACTAGCGAACTCTTTCAGTTTAATCAGTTTAATAAAGTCCTTGCTCAACTGGCCCCAATGAGTTTCACAATAATTTATTTCTTGTAACTACTTGTTACTTTGTTTCGAAAAAGCAATAATTGAAGTCTCCGTAGCGTAAAAAAAGATAGGAAGAAGCGTCTTTGGTTGGCATCTTCCTCGTGGGCTGCAGGAGATGCTTGTCTTTTGTTTTGCCGATACTTTTCATCGGAAATCACCTCAGGGCTCGATATTCTCAGCTTCTGGTTTTCCAAGTCAGCGAAACAAGACCAGCCGCTAAGAGCTTCCATCGAAATTCGAAGCTTCCGTGTTTCCAATGGCAAAAAAACTTGTTGTTTTGCGAGTCTTTAAAGTTTTTCTTTCGTACTTAACTGAATTCTAATAAGTACAATTTTGCGGAAAATTTTCAAAGAAACAATTTTCTTTGGCTTAGTGAAAGCTCCAAGAGAAACAACTAACTCAAAAAAAAATTTTCTTTTCCAGAATTCAAGTCCCCTTTACCCTTGATTTTGTATTTGTTATCCGTACTTGGTCTCCGTTACTGGTGCCTGAGTCAAAGTTGAGAGTGATAAAAAAAAAAAAAAACATTTTTGCAAAAGGTTGTCATTTTAACATACATAAAAGAACATGCTTTTATAATTCATGTCTTTAAATGACACTGGCCTTTATTTTTCAAATTTATTACTTTAATAGATAAAC